GGGGGGGTAAGTATCTTTTATCCGTCTTTATCTCCTTTCTCTTTTTACATCCCTCTTTTCTTTACGTCCCCTACCCCCACCCACCGTCGTTCGAAAAACTAAAAATCAAATTTAAGTCGATTTTGGAACACTTTTATAAAAATTTAGGTTTGTTGTCTTTCACGGAGAAATCGTATCTTATTACTGACGACCCGATCTGTTTTTCATCCAAGTCATTTTTACCGCTATCGCTTTTGAATAATAATTCTGTAGCAGGTAAACAAGGACACGATACACAATTATATCTAAGTTTTTCCTTGTTTTTTGAATGCAAAATTATTTATTCACCTTATTTATTCACCTAGAAAGAGAAGAAAAAAACTTTTCATACATCATTATTGAGGAAGGGTATAGAAGATAACATGGACGAATTAGTGTATATATTAATGTAAATAAGGTTAAAACCAACTGATAATCTTGCAAGTTCTGTAACTAGGTAGTAGTGGAGTGTAGCAACATCCATTGACAGATTGGGCTAGTGGTATCTTAGGGCAGTTTTTCTAATAAGTGTTGTAGAATGCTCACATGATAATTCTAACATGACCTAGTCCATTTTTACCAAGTTCCCTAAATAAGTCGCGTTGCACGCTAAAAACACCACCTTCTATTCTAGGCAAAACGCTGCCAGCAAGGAAATACTTGATAAATATCAAACTTCGCACACAAATTCAATGCTGTGACGCTTATTGGAGTTTTTGTAATAAATAAAGATAAAAAAGGAAAAGTTGTGGGTATGCTGTGTCTCAAAATATATCCGCTGTAAATTGTCTTATGTCATACTGGATTGGATCACGGTAATGAAGATCTACGAGATACATGGTTGGGGTACAGGTGAGAACTAAATTTGGAGCATAGAATACAGCTAGGGATGGATATTGCACTCTAAACCTAGATAGTTATATACTATCCCACATTTTGATAAGCCAACCCTAATGCAAGGATTTCCAGCGATATTTTACGTCTTTCCCATATGACGTCCAAGTCATGACTAAGACCCTACATTGTTTTTTAGGACGTAGATAAAAAATAGCAACACCCAATTATACATTTTGAAGTTATGTTTAAGTTGGCAAGGTGAAAAGTTGAACTTATTTTTGTTCTCAAATGTATGTTCAAAGTTTCAATTGGCAATAAACTAGCAATGTAATCTAAGAAGTTTATTTATGTATACGAACAGAGAGCTGGGAGTATGAAAATAGTGAACGCATTAAGTAGAAATATTCTAAGCACACGTACTAGGAAAATATATAAATTTGATGAGATCCCCTCTGTTATTTTCCGCTACCCTTTTGATTTATCCATTTTATATGAAATTGCCGGGTTAACTTGATCAATATATCTTATGTTCCTGTCAGCCTTGGACGCGTTGTATATATTATTATGCGTGTTGCATTCACTGATTCCTACACTATAGCTTCCGGGCACCGTTTTCACTAGGCTTCACGGCGCTTAGCATGATAGCATGATATACCTTAGGCATACAAATCAGCTGTAAAAACAAATGTTTTAAATCTGATTCACATTGGAAATCATTGCATTTCGCAGGCATGCCAAGTGACGCAAATAGAAATTGCTTTTTAAAAAAGCGCAACCCAAAATATATTTACTAGTTAAAGTTGTTAGTTTTTATTTTTAACTTCCAAGAATTTCAAATGACGTAACAGATACCTCGCACAAGAAAAATGTGTTTGTTTCAGCTATTTTTGCTGGCTTTTTGCCGGGGTTAAAATGCTCTTGGAAAACAATACTAAACATGGCGTTTCGTATTATTAAGTAATAAATAACTAGACCTTTTTTCGAGACAAAACTGTACTGGTTCAAATAGTTTTCTCGCATTTGTACAAAATGTCTTTTTTGTATAATTTTCTACACACTTTTCTTTTGACTTTTTCAAAAATGAATCTGAAAAATAAAGAAATAATTCAAGACACGATGGCCGCAACCAGGTGGATGCCAAGATGCTACCACGTTCCATTTAAGGCTCATGTTATGACAGCGCGCCTCTTTATAGTCTGACGTATGGGTGCTTGAAGGGTTCTAAAAGGTGGCATCGGGGGAAAAGGGTACTTTCGATTTCAATTTTACAGTTTATTTTTGCAAGTTCCCAAGACGTTTCTCAGTTGAACCCATGAGTTCAGGTATCCTTCCTAAGTAATATTAAGTCTGGGTGGTAAAGATTATAATTAATGTTTTCCGCAGTACGAGTTCCTGGGGATCCCCGTTCGTGTTGCTCAGGTGCGAGGTCATCTCTAGGAGGCTTCCTGCCCGTGTCTTGCCAAACAAGGCAGTAACTTCATCTGTTCCCGTGACGCATACTGCAGGCGTGTTTTCAATCCATCACAGAGCTGCGCTCTTATAGGCTGAATCTTCATACCACCTCATCTCTCTTCAGATCAGTTTACATTAAGCTGGCCACCATTTTTACCTAGCAGCTCACTCCTCCTTTCGTCCAGCTCAGTAGCCAGCTAGCTTGCGTTCAGTCTCCCAGTTTCTATAGTGTGTATTTTACGGCGGCACCTTCGACCAACAAACAACCATGGACGCCATCAAGAAAAAGATGCAAGCTATGAAGCTTGAGAAGGAGAATGCTCAAGATAGAGCCGAGGCATCTGAGCAGAAACTGAGAGAGGAGCAAGAAAAGAACTCCAAGGTAAGTAACGAAAAATATACCACTTATCAAAACGCACGCATTATATCCACTAAATTGGACCAAGTCAGTAACAAATGTGCATGCATGACTAACTGTGGAAATAACTTACTTTTAATGTTTTAATATTATTTCATCAGTGTTTAAAACAAACCTTGAAGAATATATATATAATTGTGTATTTAATTTCACAATACATATACAGTTAATTGTTTCTTTGCTATAGGCCTAGCATTTCCTTCTTTTCTTTTACCTTCTTACCATGTAATCCGGCAAACCACATCAGCATCTTTAAAGAAAACTGTAACCAATGATTGGGAATGGAGAATGAGACATATTTAGCACAGCATCGTTAGTCCTTGGGTTTTTCTGCTCCGGGAAACCGCTGTTTGCTGGAAAAGGTCATTTACAGATACCGGCGTTCGCCATTTTGAAACTTGATCCGAGGTCACATCAAATTCCTGGCTATCTGATAAATGTTTATAAAACCGAGGGGGATCCAGTAAATATTTTCTAACGGTCAAGTTATTATTTATTCCAATCATGCTATGAAGTTTTGGTTTGTTTGTCAAATTTATAATGAAACACTTTTCATCAGGGTTGGATATTTTTCTGTGAAAGATCAACATCCCTTTAATCGAAATTAATGAAAGGTGACTGTGCCTGGCATTGTTTGGGTTTCTGCGTTAGATCAGTTTTCATTAGAATACAACTCTTTTCGCTCTGCCTGCCCAGCATGTGCGTTTAGCTGTTTTGACAGCTTGTCCGATTCACCTCTCACCATTTACAACACCGCATACCTTAGCAAATCCCATATCCTGCTAAAGAGAAAAAAAAAAAGGTTGGCCTCAAATGAGCCTACCGCAAAAATTATCACAAGCAGCATCATGGTTTTGAACGGGCCCAGCCAGAAACAATAAAATCCGGACATTGTGGTACGTAGCGCCAAACTGTGGTGTGTTGTACATATCGCTCCATAACAGTTGATATTATTAACCCCGCAACAACGTACTTCGACCTTCCCCTTTATGGGCCTGTCGATCGTATAGGTGGGTGTACCTGGATGCGTTTGCTTTGCGTGCATGAGAAAGCTAATAGCGTTTCTCTCGCTTTGAGCCGCACTACTCTCTCAAAAATTCGCATTTTTTTTGTGTTTTCTCTCGATAATCTTGAGTTCATCTTTATTGCCCCGACCTTTTTCTTAATCTGACAAGATTATTTTAAAATGTATTAGAACTGTTCCCTGCTTGCCAAACGAAAAAGGGAAAGACAAACAAATGCACATTTCATGGCATCAATGGGGACACACCCATTGCCTTAGACCCCCACTGCCCCATCAACAAAACCTCATGTTCTTAGTTTATGCTCCAGATAAGACTTTTGTTTTCATTTTGAATTGTAAAATATTATGAAACCGTTTTACACAACTACAATAATCCATTTTAGAAGAAAGAAAAAATTAAGAGATATTCTCGCTTTGCTGGGAAATCTGTTTCCATGTTGAACAATTGGCCCGACCGTCCTACCCAACAGCTGATTTAAAAAGTCTACTGACACGTATGCAAAACAATATAGTTCAACCGGTCTTTCGTTTTTTATAGACAAAATAAGAGGCCTGTCCATGTTTTTATACAAACACACACACATATATATACAGTAATAAAATCACACCTATTCTATTTTCCCTTTCTAGGCTGAGGAGGAAATCAACAGCCTACAGAAAAGAATCCAGCAATTAGAAAATGACTTGGACCAAGCTACTGAAAATCTACAAAATGCCACCACAAAACTGGAAGCTTCAGAGAAAGCCCAGGGAGAGGTAAGAAAACAAACATTAAATATACGCACATTTCATTCCGCTTTTTTCACCAACCCTTTCTGCCATCCACTCCAAAAGTTGAATTCACAAATAAAAAATTGCTAATCACTATCAAAACTTTTCACGTGCAAAGAAATATCTAATGTTCGTAATTGGATTTTTAAAAATCCTGTATAGAATGTGTTTCCTAGACAGCGTCATGAAGTGTATAGAATTCCTCACTGAATATCGTTTTAAGTCGAAAGAGCAAAGATATGTCCCAACTCATAAAATGCCCTACTTGGTTATGAAGGAGGGCCGATTTCAGTTCAAAGTGGTGTACTTGTATAAAATATGATGGAGGTCACATGAAGATTCTAGCACAATATGCATGAGCACTACGAAAAAATCAGGGGAAGGGGGAGGCGGGGACGAGCATGCACGCTTAGCTAATACACAATTTATAGGCATGAACGCAGTGTTATTGTTGAACGGTTCTATGATGGGCAATAGACTTTTTTTTGATAGTCTCGATTTTCTCGAGCTCTATTTGAAAATATAGACTGTATTGATGCACAGATGCATATTGCTAATGTCGCAAGTAGTACATAGGGCATTCTGAAAGGTACGCAAAGTGTTTGAGTTCCTTCGAAATATAATAAAAGAGACAATAAGTTAAATATATGGTCCATATAGATAAATATAGGGCAGTGCAGACTTATGTTGTGCCCTGTGTTTTATTCTTACAGCAACTAGAAGAGCTGTTGCATTCAGTTGATTCGCTGTGATTGTGTTATAAACAGCCAGCCCTCACGTCTAAATAAGGCTGCCAAGTAGTGCAAGAATCATTCAGAGGCTGTTCCTAGAGAGAGAGGCGTTTTCTGCGATTATTATGACATAATTCCACGTTTTAAAAAGATGATAATATATATACTATATGAAATGATATATATTCTACATATTGATATAGTGATATACAGATTCAAGACGGTCTGACAAAGTCGTGTAGCATTTGTAATCTGTAGCTTTGACATTTATTTTTATAAAATACTATGATATATTAGAAAAAATGTATATTATCGGAGGCTTAAATTAGTGTACACCTGGGGTTAAAGTGGAACTCTGCTATGCTTGGATGATAAGATAATGGGTGTCTTCTTGTGCGTGCACGATAATTGAGATACATTAGAAAATCACGAGTTCAGTCAGAGTCGAGTTTCGTTAAGACAGGGCGAAGTCTGTTTTTCGGTTACAAACTCCGTCCAGTCCTCCCCTGCTAAGCGCTTTCAGTAAAGGAGATAGAAAGTACTATCTTGTGGGATATTTTGGGAATGAAAGCACTAGTATATTTACTCGTAAACCGCATAGTGACGCCGCTCTCCATATATGGTATGTAACGCAAGGAATGCCGGCTGTGGAAGGGGAATCTGACTAAACGCTGTTCCAGTTATTGAACATCGCCCCTCTGCAATTTGATATTGGAATAACAAGGTGTGCTGCTTGGATTAACTGTACAGCGGCATAGGCAGTGGATTTTGCACGCGCCCTGCGCTATATACAAATGCACAATGGACGTAACAGAAGACTTGAAACGTCATAACCATGGCAACGAGGACTTAACGTTACCGCAACCTAGCGGTGCATCTGTTATTGAAAAAGAGGTGACAAAAGTTAATGACAGCGAGATTAAAGAAAGACAAACGCCAGACCCTACGGATACGACAGAATTAACAGAAACTACAGACAAAGTTCGGAAAAAGAAAAGAGTTAAAAAGGAAAGAAAAAAGAAATCAGATGATGGCTCTGTTGTTGATGAAGAAACAGAGGAAGAGACAAAAAAGAAAAAGAAAGTAAAAGTGAAAAAAGAAAAACGTTCCAAGTCTTCTGATCGCGATGTTTCTCTCCGTCCAGATCCAGAAGGCGGCAATGCCAGACCGCCCTGCAATATGGATGAATATGATGCAGTCATATATAGTAACAAACCTATCTTCTCTGATGTGGAAGAGGTAGAGAGTGACGTCATCAGTCGGGAGGAGTTACCAAAGCAACGGTCAATGCGTAACCCTAGTTTCTCGTTTGCCCAGATGCTGAATTCTAACACTATGCTCAAGTTTGCTATTATAGGAACAGAAATACAGAATATATTGAGAGTTTCATTAAGAACGGTAATAGTCTCTTTATGTTAAATGGTGTGCATGATTAGCTTTTAATGGAGAAAAAAATACCACACGTCATGACTTGACAGTGATTTTAGAGTAGGCCTAGTGATATCCTGGTTATTAAAATTACTAGATATGTCCATTTGTACAGTTTTTAGCCTATTTGGAGGCGCTTATTGCGGTTAACATTTATATTTTGATCATTTATTAATTTCGTGATAGCAGTTAATATCATGCCGGAAAATGAATTGTATTAAACTTCCCTCTCACTCACTTCATTTAAAAATGAAAAAGAAAAGTGACATATAACTCAATTGATAAAACTTAAATTTTGCTTAAAAGGACTAACGTTCAGATGTCAAATAACTCCACCGTTTTAAGAGAGCTCAGTCATACAAAAGTTTAAATGTCTATCGTGCAATAATCATTCATAATAGAACATACGAAGATTCTAACTTTTTGTATGGAATTTGTACATATTTTGTTATCAAATCACCGTATAGATCTTTAAGAAATAAATAGCTATCTTAATGATGCATCTATGAAGATCTACTAAAAAGACGTAATATCCTACCCAAGCTTTGTTTACCATTTTTTTCAAACCCCTGAACTAGGCCTAGGCGCCGAAAGCTTTGATAGGAAGTTAATTACATCTTTTAAATTTTAATAGATCTTCATATATGCATCATTATGATAACTTAGTTATTGCCACGCTAAACCGTAACAGTTGTGAGTTAGCATTTTTCTGAATGAAAATCTGAAAAATTAAAAAAAATAGAAAGAAGAAGAAACCCGCAGAAGACGCGTCGTATATAATGCCTGTATTCAGTCAGAGGGGTGTCCCCAGCTGGTGACACAGCTCAGGTGTAAAATAGTAGTCACGTGACAAAGTCGGATCTCCACCCCAGCCTTCCAACATACGTCACCGCTCAAGAATACAATTTTTGTGATAAATAGGACTTCTGACTTCTCTTAGGCTTCATGTTCTGAGGTTGTGTTTGATTAAATACAAGCAGTAGAATTGAGCTTTGTCAGTGAAAACTTCGTTTTTGCCATAAAACTATGAGGACAGCGCCTGATTTAGCGCACTACTTTTGAGCGAGTAACACAACCACCTGTTTGCTGTGTGATAAGGTCAAGCCGAAGCCGGTCAGCCATTTTTGATCTCTGAAGCCTAGATTTGTGCTCGACTACTTTAATCGTCAAAATGTCGGCCGTGAAAGGAGGAAACGTATTGAATGCTCTCAAACAGAAAATGTCTAGTTTAAGGGAGGAGCTAGACCAAATGAGAGACAAATACGAGATGAAATGCCAAGAGTGTGAAAATGAGAAAATTGAAAAGGAAAAAGTATGTATATAATTGTAATGTTATTCTGTTATTTCATACGTAAGGGGTTGGGCATGTGAGTAGAATCGGACATCACTTTGTCGTTAATGTAGATTAGTAGTACTTAGCTATTTTGCTCTGCATAAATATCTAAAGTTGTAGTCGAAAATATAAAGTTTGGGCATGGTTTGTAGCTTTAGTATACACAGCGATCATATTTCTTAATCTAGTTAGGGTCAAATGAGAGTGAAAATGCCGCCGTACAAATGGCGTGACATAAGCAAACGGTTTAGAAGCAAGGGCATCAGGCATTTTCTTTGATACTGGGGAACCCTTAAACTGTGAAACCCCTTAGGAATTCTGAACTTATATGAACCGTCTGCAGTCTCCTTTGACGGCGTTTTTTTAGTCACAATCAGTGTCTGTCATGTCCGGAAGTAAGTTGAAATCCAGGTCAGATATCAGCCCTTCCTAGTCATGACTCCATCTCAGTGAAAGCCACAACTATGCAAGGTCATTTCTTAAATAAAAAACAGATATTAACTGTGCAGATAGAACATTTGCCCAGTTGACATTTTTATTGTCACCTTGGATGAACTCTTGTCCCCCATCCGAAATACAAATATAGACTTATTATTCACACCAGTGTCTGGGATCATTCTAAATTGTCTACTGCACATCATCATCCAAGAGGTGATGAGAGATAGCATTTTTGATTAATTATAGTTTTATACCAAAAGCTTTGCACAGATCTCATTATGTATTAACTATGAATTATCTTTGTTCAGTGTGTTATTAAGTATGATAATGGCATAAATTTGTGATTTGTGTATAGACTAGTTGATATTTTTGGGGTAGATGCATAAATTAGGGAAGGTAGTGTGATCAAGATTTTACACAATCAGATCAGAAACCTCATGCAACATAATGTATAGCTTTGTGTAACATAATGAATGCACTGGGAAAAGAATTTGAAAAACAAAACAACATAATTTGGAACTTCTAGCTCAGGAAATTTAATTATGTAAACTGGCTTAATTTAATGAAATGCAAGTAAAATTTTATAAGTGAAAACAAGTATTGAGAAAAAAGTAAAAATTTGCATAATCATACCATTTAATAAACTATGAATAATTTATACCTAAAGAAAAAGCAGCATGACTGGGTTTTATTGTCTCTGACATAACTCCTCGTAACTCCTAAGAAATCAATTTGAATATGGGTCTCTAACCTTGTTTTAAAGGTAAGACACTTAATTGGGTATTAGGTGCCATTCAGATGACTAATCCCAATAGCATCATTGTTAGTTTGTCTGAGCATTTAACATTAAAGCACTTCATTCTCATTCAAAACCTGTAAATTGTAATAATAGTTTCAGATAACAGGTAGAGACACAAATTCCAAATTTGGGGCCTTACAGGTGCCTGGGCCCAGATTCCCATTTCCTCTTAAATGATGTGTCATTATATAAAAAAGGTACTTTTTTCATTCACTCAACCGGCTAAGTGGAATCATCCACAAGATTTGAGGTGAAGAATTATTGTGTACAAATATGTTGTCTTTGTAAAGTTAGATTGGCCCACTTTGTACTTGATGGTAAAGGAATGTTTGTTTTCTTATGAGCACTTGGTATTTTCAATTCTTTTCCCTTTTATCATCAGTATCCGACTAAGTGACCATAGTCTATCTTAATACAACTTCGGTGCACATATGGATGACTCAATCACACAGGCTGCTGGGGCATCTAGAAGGGGTTTATGAGTAGAGTCTTGTTAGCATTTCAAAGAGAATTTAAGATCTGCTATTTGTATGCAGGTTTGCCTTGATAACAAAGCATTTAATGGCGTTGTAATAAAGTACAATAAAAGGGCAGTTTATGTCAGACACAGCTATGAATTATGCACTAAAGATATATGTAGCAATATCTCTTGTGAAGGTCTATAAGTTAAAGGGCATGCCAGGTTTAATTTTAAATAAATCACTGGTGTTTTTTAATAAGTAGTATTTTTCAGTAAGGAAAATTAATACCTGGAAGAGTAGATACTATATGTTCTGTCTGGAAATAGGCTCCAATCAATGCTGGATCTGTATCAGTAAAAGCCCCTGCCAAATTATGAATGGGAAGTTTTTTTGGCTCCTTTCCTTGGTGTATGGATATCAGGATATAACTTTGTAGTATGTGTGACCCTAGGGCATGGTTGTGTATATCTTTTACTTGTAAATGATTACTTGATTATGTGGCAGTTATATAACACGACAGGCATCTTAGTATACCACACGCTGTTAGGATGTCTGTGTTTTATCAGTTTTTGTATTATAGATATTATAATCAGCCCTTAAGGGATGAAGGTTTTCTAAAATATGTGAAGAATATTTAACATTTTCTTTACTCATGACAGACAGTTTAAAAATGAAAGAAAAGCACCCAATCCATTAAAATTTCCCTTACTTCAGATGTAGGGAAAGTATTCACCACACCAACCTAGTGTTTTGCCAAATGTTTACAAGGTTTTTCTCTTTTATTTAAATGTTTTATTTTTGTTTTGTCATTGTTAGGCTGAGGAGCAGGTGCAGACACTGAACAGGCGTGTCTTACTATTAGAAGAAAACCTAGAAAGCACAGAGGAGAGACTCACTGCAGCATCATCCAAGTTGGACGAGGCTTCTCAAGCTGCAGATGAGTCTGAGAGGTATGTATTCACTTTCCTTGTAAATTTTATTCTTGATTCTGTTGTAATTTTTTTTTACTTAAGTATTTTTAAGCCCAAGTCAGATTTCTTTTGTTGTATTGCAAAATTATTTGCACCAGGCATGTAACAGCGAGCCCAAAATATCTACTTTCAATGGTGGCAACATGAAAAATGAGCTTAGAAATGCAATTAAATTTATTTTTGGACATTTATTCAAAAATTCAAAGGAGGCTCTTTTTGGATTTCTAAGAAGATTTGTGAATAGCTTATGGAAAAGCCATCAAGCACAGAAAATGTAATGGTTCAGATGTTTTATTGTTTGTTTTTTTCATTGCGTCAAGGGCATCATTTGCATAGGTTTGAATGAGTCATGGTCTAAAAAGAGGGGTGTGAAACCAGCAGCTCCAAGGGCATTCATTACTTCTTTGTAAAAGTATACCCTTTCCTCAAAGCTAAGAAAAAACATCCTGTTGAGTTGATTGCACAAAATTGTCCCCTTTTGCCATTGGGGTAGGCAGAATTTTATAGTACAGGTCACATAAGCTATTTGACCTCGTGTGAAAGGTGGGTTTCATCCTAAATCCATCTCTTACACACCTTTAACTATTATTTGGAACCTGAGGGATATTCATGTATATGCATTCATTTCTCCAACATAATGTTCCCTTTGTACTGGGCTTTTGTAATCCTAAATACAATGTGACTAAGGGATCTGGATATTGATGTTTTAAGTTGAGCTATATGTGTGCACACAAGGCATCTTTACTCTAGCTAACTCTTATCATGTGCCACTGATATCTTGGATGTAGGGCAAAGAAATTGGCCAGTTTTATGGGTAGTTTGGTGTATATTGAAGGATTAATAGGGTCCGAGTACATGGATACCATAATAACAATAAAGGTTTGTCAAATGAAATTGGATTTTGGTAACTTAATGGCCTGTATTGATTCCATTTATGGCCACTTGCACATGCTGCCCTTGATTGTATGATTATCAAAAGCCAAATCATATTGTTGTGAGCAAAATTATGTATAAATGATATGTTAAGAATGTAGCTTTGATGATTGGTATAATTGTTGAAATTTGGTGTGGCCGTGTCAATGTGTATGTTGACCTCTTGTTGTGATTGTTGCGTTTCTTGTATACATCTAGGATTCTTTGCTCAAGAGTTCTCTGCCTACTGTACAGATAGATCTTGGCGCTCTTCTAAATGGCAAATTTTTTATCTTGCTTTCCAGTGCTTTTTTACTTCCTTCATAGATAACCTAAGCTGGATATCATATTTATTTCATCTGTGGAATATTATATTTCACTAATTTAAAGTGTGCACTTTAAATATATCAGCATGCCATTTTCTTCATCTGCATGTATTTTCTTTTAATAACCAGTCTTTTTGTTGCAACAACATAATTAAATAAGTTGCCCTAACCTTTTTCTGCTTGTGTGATTCTGTCAGGAAGAATTTCTCTTGTGCCTAAAATAAGGGGAAATCAGAAATTTAGGAATTACTGTTGTTCCGAACATCATTTTGGCTAATGACCGCAATTTCTTCTCTTGGTGTTTGTTAATTTTTCTTATTGAAATTATCAACTCAGATTTGAAGCCTAATGCTTATTGAATGAATCAGATGGCCAGTTTGAAAACCTTTTCGTCTAAACACTGGGCACTACAGTCTTGACCCAGTTGGAGAAATTGGAAGCCAGTGAAGTCACTCGTAAAGGAATGTGACCAACATAAAGGATTATTGATGAAAATACCTTTGCGTTAACAGGCTATTACTTCATAGTACATCTGAAACATTTTGTAATGTTAAAATGTGAAAGTGGTCTTTTATTGAGTCTGTTACAATGTAGATCTTGGATAGATACGGGGTTTTCATATTATTTATACCATGGGAAAGAAGGGGGATAGCATGAGAGAAGTTTTTGTAACATTTACTATTTATTATTTAATATCTTGCTACCTGTTTTATTGTATTGGTATGACTTTTGTATCCAAAGTTAATTTTTTTCTATCAACCCTTTCTTGTTTTTGAATTTATGCAAGATCTTTTCCGCAACAGTTTCTTTTATATGTTAATCCATGTACAGAATCCACTAACAGGTAGCGCTTCAATCATTTTCTTGCATGCCTGGTGTAGATCCTGCAGGGTACTGCAAAATAGAAGTAATTTGGATGAGGATAGGATAGCACAGTTAGAACAACAGTTCAAGCATGCCCGCAGTATTGCTGAAGAGCGAGAGCGAATGTTCGAAGAGGTATGCATCAAACGCGGCCATCTTTTTAAATTGGAAAAAGTGTGGCATTTTGTATTGTTTTATGTCTTGCTGTTTTGTGTCTATGCACATAGTTTTGTGAACCAAGCAGTTTATATCTTCCTGGCGATATTATCATCACCACTCCTGCCTATACATAACAAGGGTTGCTTGAAGCAATGTATGTTAACAGGAAACTGCAGACTCACTAAATGTGTAAAGATATTTCGTTGGGCTGGGTTTATGGAAATTTATAGTCCTGTCATTTAATGTCTGTATTGCAGTTGGGAGATCTGTTTTATGATGTTTTTTCGTGTTGGAAGAGTTAAACTCTCTGTTCACAAAATGTCTTGCATGTGTTGTGTTAGCACGTTTGCTGTGTGTTCATACAGCCTTGCATCTTTTCTTACACTAGAGCGCGAAAAGTGCTTGAGAACCGAAACAATATTGATGATGATAGAATTGGAATGCTTGAGCAGATGGTTCGAGAAGCCACAGAAACTGCAGATGAAGCTGAACGCAAATTTGACGAGGTATGTGCCTGTGTTTGTAGGTAACTCCAACTAACAGCATCTGGTATCTTTTTCAGCAATTTTGTTTTTATTAATAAAACTTTTCTGTATTTCAGGTGTTTTTTTTTTTCACTTTAGGTTAACAGCTTTGGAGGCACATGTCTGGAAGGGTCATTTTAATATGCCCAAGTGGCAACCCCCCCTTCCCCCCAATCCCTTTTATTGATCTAAGAACAACAATGGCTCTACTCTGTCCAACTTGATTAACTGCCACTTTCTGCTCTGGCTAGTGCAATGTCTGTTCCTGCCTTTGGGTTTTTCACAGTTCTTTCTCTTGTGTCCCACCAGAGGGCGTAAAGCATTAGAGGGCAGGACACAGCAGGATGATGAAAGAATAGAGACCCTAGAAGCCCAGCTGAAGGAGGCTAAATATATTGCTGAAGATGCTGACCGTAAATTTGATGAGGTGAACACCAAGGCAACTCTTTAGGCATGTTGAGACTTGGTAGCTCATCCTCTGTCTCCTCCCCCCCCCTTACACCTGGTATAGGCCCTGCCCCTTTAGGCCCTCTCCATACTAAATGTCACTTAGGTGGCTTGATCAATGGCACTTTTTTATTTGGACAGCTCCTCAACACACAAGTGCTTTCTTTTTTAGTTTCAGTGGGTGTATCTATGTCTTTATTTATTATTTTGCAATTGTCATTCCTGTTATTGTTATTGTACAACCTATTATGTTATTTTGGTTGGCTCTTTATTACTTCTACCTCCTACTTCTTTGTGTGCGTTGCTAGAGGTCGCAAAGCCCTGGAAAACCGTACCATGACTGATGATGAGCGTATTGCTGAGCTGGAGAAGCAGCTTCAGGAGGCCAAGTACATTGCTGAAGATGCCGATAGAAAATATGATGAGGTGAACTTTCCCTGAATCCCTTACCCCTCCTTCCATAAGTAAAAACTCTCAGAAGTTATCTAGGCAGAAACTGATTTATTTTCATGACAATGATCTGTACAGTTATATTGAAATCAGTTTTTCTCATTTCTCAAACATAAATTTCTAAGTAAAGTGCCCATTTTCTTCAGAAGTATTTGTAATGTACTTGTATGACAAAGTCTTGTAAATCTACTAAGCCTCTTTAAGCTAAGTAGCCACTTTCCTCTCAATGTGCATAATGTCTCTCTAGAGATTAGTGGCAGTTTTTTTTTACTGGCTGAAAGTATGAGGCATAAGCTATCATTTGTACTATCTCGCCTAGATAATGATTCTTGGTTGCATGACTTTGGATAATATATTTGTTTGGCGTGGTTTGCCTTTTTTTGTTGGCCTAGATTTGTTTTTTTGCCCTGGTTTGTGAAATAGAATGACAGTAGCATGTTCATTCATTCTTAAGACCTATTGCTTATACTTGAGTGAAGCCAGTTTTTGCTTCATGTTGAAGATATTCATATCTTTACAAGAGACTGGTAATAATTTGGATTGTTTGTTAGAGTACTTTGAAAAAAAAAGCTTTGAAGAAATTTGTTCTCTTCTGTACAAAGAAGTACAAAAGTATTCTGCCTCCTTTTGTGCATACTGCATGTGGATGCTGCTATGGTTTGAACAATTGCTGTGTTTTTTTCTGGAACCTGAATTCCCTTTCATTCCATTTCAGCCACATAGCATTGCCTTTGAAGTCTGCCATTTCCAGGCTGTTATCACCACACCTACATACAACTGTTTTCTTATTAACATAAGTGCACTTGATTTAACCCAAAATACATTACGGTGTTCACTAACCATGCATGTTGACTTCTTAAAACAGGTTCATCTTTCCCATCAAGAGCCATTTGAGATGCCCCTCGGGGACGCCACCATGCTGCTGATGATGATGAGGCTCATTTCTCATTCTGCACTTCATATAATGTCCTATGCAACTATGATATGGCATTGTTTGAAGTGCTTTTTATTTGACTTTAGCATGTAGCTTGGTTATAACATGATAATTGAATCTGATGAATTACCTTATGTAGATACAGAAGTCACATTGCCTCATTTTTGTTTGAATTCCTTTCATCTAGACAAACCATTCTGAACTGCTTTGTGGGGCCTTTTGTAATCATAACTTCTGTGTCGTTCTAAAGCTATTAAGGAGGTTAAAAGTATAGCCTCAAAATTTTATACTAACTGGCAACAAATTTGACATTGAAGAAAATAAAATTAATGGACATTTCAAAATGCTTATAAACAAAATGTTAAAATTTACTAGACACATCTCTACTACAGTTCACTTGAATTGTTACCACACAAATCCGACCACTTTGTAAAGGCAAGCATCCTAATCAGTGGCCCTGTACAAACAGCAAGCAGCCCTATCATATTCTCACCATATATATGGGTTACTACAGGCCCTGAGAAGTGTCATAGTGACCTCTTGACCTTTGGTGACATTATTAGGGGAATCAGAATGACTTGTCTGTAGGGAATTTGAAATGTAGATTAGGTTGAACTTAGAAAGAGAAGGGTGAATTTACATACAAATGATCATTGTTTCTTGGCTTGGGTAAATATTGAATTAAATTGCTGATGTGATGTGATTAAAATATTGAGACTTGTCAAAAGGAAATTATCATTTGTGGGTAATTATACCTTTTCACCAAATTTCAATAGTGTTTTTGAACTAGACTTCACCTTCACTCTTCACTTTTCAATGACTGCATTGAAGATTTATATTGTTTGTCTTAAGAATTGGCATAGACATATAGATTGTTTACAGGGAGGTTGAGCTTATATTTGCTCTTTGTGAAGAGTAAATAGTTCCAAGTACTCTCTCTGCTCAAAGGTGCTAGGGAAATGGGGTGGGAGGGTAACTGGGGATTAATATCAAAACCTTTTGCAGGATCATGGTTATGTAGTGATAGCAGCCTTTGAGAAGAGAGAATGGCATTGTTTGAAGTGATGTGATAAATGAGTGAAACTGCATCAGCATGAGAGCAGCCTGACTGTTCGCAGGTTTTCAGCCTGTACTGTTTTTGAAATTTCACCCAGCCAACGACACAACAAAATTAAATTGCATGAAAATTTTGGCATGAGACCTACAGTTACACTGCATGTCCAGAGAATATGCAAGTTGTGTGCAATGAAAATGCACCAACTATTTTATACAAAATGAAATGAATTTTTGATCTTCATCTTATTATTGTTCGTGCACAGGCTGCTCGTAAGCTGGCCATCACAGAGGTTGATCTGGAGCGTGCAGAGGCTCGCTTGGAAGCTGCTGAGGCGTAAGTAATGAAATTTTTGCGAGGAGCCAGCTAGTGTCTGGTATTCTCTGTTTGGGACAGTCCAGGCTTGTCCCCTGGGTCTCCCTTTACAGTGTTGCTGCTTTTGATGTGTATAATACGCACTAGGTGGCATATCTTGTCACCAAGAGAAGCAGCAGCATTGTAATAACATGACAAAGTTCTTCAAGGTATTCTTTCTTGTTACCTTCATTCATGATTGGATGTGCCTTCTTTATCCTGTGAGGTCATATGGAAAAGATATGGGCTTTATCCTTTGAAGAACTTTGTCTTTTAGTTAAGGATTTATAGCTTAAAAAAGAACAATACTTAATTTAAATTTTAATGAATTTTACATAGGTTACGAGAAAATTAACAATAACAGAAGCAGACTTAGAGCGTGCTGAAGATCGTGCAGACAATGCAGAAGCGTGAGTTACTTCTTCCAATATTTGAACACAGTGGGATGTATAGTTTTTGTTTTGCATCTGCTGCATGTTTTAAAACCTCATAATTTTAAAGTATTTTCCCATTCAATTAATGAGAACCAAATTTTTACGTAGATCATTCCCTCTTTGAGCATGTCTGATAACTGTCATTCAATTTACAATTTTAATTTACAAATGTTTACCTCAGTAAAAATCAGAATTTTAGTTTGATTTGTCTTACCATTTAATTGCATTGTTAGTAGAAATTAGCTGATGTTTTTGTCTTTATAGAATATTTTGTTTGCTTAGTAGTTGAGATAGCTTAGAGGCATTATTTCTTTCAGTTAAAGATAATTACTGCATGGTTAGGGACTTTTTATGCATGTGATTAGTCTTCATTACCTAAGTTGAACTTGAAATGCTGTTTACTGTTTAAAAAAAAAAAAAAGAAAAAGAAAAAAAATGAAGTTTTTTTATCCAAAATGTGAGGGATACAGATTATAATTACTAATGTGGAATAAGTAGTGTCTTGTTCTGGATTTTTGGATCAAATTCATGTTTATTGTTGAAAACGAGTGTTTCTGGTTTTAAGATTTTGAGTAAAATTCATATTTATTATTGAAAACAGAAAAGAAACTAAAGTTAACTTAATCAAGTATATCATGAAAAGGTTAAAAAAAGTAAAATTGGTAGATTTTTGGGAAGGGAGGGGTATAACAATGATGCTGTGATTTCATGCTTGATCTTTCCTGGCTTACCATTGTTGGATGACAACAGTGTTTGTTATGCATTTTACAGCAAAATAAAAGCATTGGAAGAAGAACTGCATGTGGTTTCTCACAATCTTAAGTCCTTGTCAATTAATGAAGAGAAGGTAAGGCTATTGTGCCACTGGCAACCCCCACCCAGGTTGTAGTATAGTGCAGTTATCATATTAACTGTGAGTTTGTTAGGGGGTGTGCTTTTTGTGCATTGTGCTGCCATGCCTTTTTGATCCCACTGTGTTCTTATATACATTATTACAGCAAATTGAAGGAGCTGGAAGAAGAATTGCACGTCGTTGGTGCCAACTTGAAGTCGCTTGAGAATAATGAGGAGCAGGTAGTTTTAGTGAATGTGTCCTCTGTGAACTGGAGCCACAAAGGAAAATGAAGTATTTTTTTCTCAAAACAAAAGTTATCCCCCCTTTCTCCTTTTTTTTTTTTTATCGTCCACAGATTTTCAAAACTGACAATCCAGTTGGCCAAAATCCTTCTGATGAAGGGTTCCTATGCTAGGAAGAAACTGATGATTTTTAGATACTGAACAGATAATAAACTTTTTTGTTTTGAGAAAAAATACTGACTGGGTGCATCATCCCTGCTGTATAGTAGCAAAGATGGTGTACAACCAGCTTTCCTATGTGTCCAGGTCCTATACCTGGCTATATACCTGTCTATATGTATTTAGTAACAGCTAACAGCTAAGTGACTAGCTGTCTGGCAAGAATTTATTCATTTCTTCTAGTCAGGCATTGTCACTGCTGCTGTAGTACTGCTCTTGCTTCTCTTTTGTTTCATTTCTCCATTCTCTCCTTGATTGCTTTGTTACAGTAAGATCCTTGAGCTGGAGGAGGAGCTTAAGGTGGTGGGCAACAACATGAAATCTCTTGAAATCAGTGAACAGGAGGTAAAAACATTTCTCTGAGCTAGTTGTGACTTTGCATGGCGTGATTATGGAGTGCCATCCAGTCACTATGCATGTCACATACTGGACATCACAGTACAGTGATGTCTGAACCAATCATAAAGCATGTCACATACTGGACATCACAGTACAGTGGTGTCTGAACCAATCACAAAGCATGTCACATACTGGACATCACAGTACAGTGGTGTAAGAGCCAATCACAAAGCATGTAACATACAGGGCATCACAGTACAGTGATGTTCATACCAATCACAAAGTGTGTCACAGTACAGTGGTGTAAGAGCCAATCACAAAGCATGTCACATACAGGACATCACAGTACAGAGATGTCCAAACCAATCATGTAGCATGTCACGTGCAAGGTGTCACCGTACAGTGGTGCACCAGCCGATCACAAGGCATGTCTTAACTGGTTGATGGATCTTGGAGCAGTTAGGCAACAGTCCAACCATGCTGCACATCTCATGGTTACATTTGGACATCCTAGTGAAAAGATGTCAAACCATCACTCTATACTTCTTGCAACATACACCTTGGTCTCCACTGCACACGCAGAATCAATACAACCTGTTCACAGCATGTTGATATTGCTTAAAAACTTTGGGAAGACATTGCCTCTTAATCTTCGGTATAGTGCATGGTGCTTGCATTAGTGTTGCATATTTTAGACATTTGGCAAACTAAGAACCTTTGTAGTTTCCTGTTATGAACACATGAAGACAACAATACACACAAACACACTCTGCTTAGTTTTCTCTTGTTATGTCATTGTGGGAGAAGCTCGCCTTTTTTGCAGGTAAGTTTAGCATGGCAGTACAAGAAAAAAGAAAAGAGAAAAATCCCACTAGATTTTGCCATGCTCTTGTAGCATTGGTCAAAACTGCACTTTATTTCTCTATTTCCAAATGTTGGATAAACCATCCTCGTGTTTTGGACTTCATACTTGAACAAAGTGCACGCTCCCTAACAAAAACCCATCTGTTTGTTATCTGGATATAGGTAGTACTTGAGAAATTAACATGATTATGATGTTTTATTCTTTGGTTTGTATTAGTGCTGTTATCATTACTCTTATCACAGCTTGGGCAGTTCCCCCATCTGGTCTACTTCTCAATCCAGGTAGTTTTTTAGGTTCTGTCACTTTGGAGATCACAAAGGACATAAATGCCAAAGGCATTTTGTTGAGATGAAAGATTCCAAAGTGATTATTAGCAATATTACCCCGCTTTTATTCCTATATTATCATAATATTCAGCTAGATATTGACATGGATGTACATATATATTTAATTGTTCAGCATACCATATTTTGTCTCTGATATTATGCAATGTTCCCATGTTTGGCTGCATCACTTTGTCTTTTTTGGAAAAGATTATGTTGGTGAACATGTCAAAAAAGAATAGAAGAAAAATATTGCCTTGGGGTAAAATTATCATTTCTTACATAAATGTTCAAAGTGAAGTTAACAGATTTTACCTAGGAAAAAAAGAAGAGATAAATGATTAATGTAATTTTCTTTTGCTTTCTTTTCACTTTCTAGGCTTCAGCGAGAGAAGACAGCTATGAGGAGACAATCCGTGACTTAACTGCCAGGTCAAAGGAGGTATGTGTACACTGCTATTTGGCAGCACTAATTTTTGTGATCAGAAATGATCTCTTTGCATGCTTCATATAACAATGTTAGTGCATAACTGACTACATGGGTAGTACAGTACAGTATGGGTAGCACAGAATAATGGGATCGGCTAAAATATCGACATTTTAAAGTAATGACTAAAATCAGTGAATAAAAAATTTTTCAACAATGTCAGACTACAAGTCATTGAGGTGTAATTGGGGTAGGGGGATTAAACATGGACAGAAAAGAGAGCATGATGATAGCTCAAGAAAGTAGATGGAAAATTGGTTGTGTTATTTTAAATTGTGAAAAGACTAGGATGAAACACCGCATGCTACAGCTTGTTTGGTTGTGATAAAAAATAAAGAATGTTGCTATCTTACTTGGAATATTGTGCTTTTCAAAAATTATTTTTGATGTAGAATGTTGTGGATGAATTTTTTTAAAATATATATATAACATGTTTTTGCAGGCAATAATGGAGTTATGTTGTATATTTATTTGTTTGTCTGTTTGTGTGCCTATTTGTATTGTTTTGTTGATTGTCTATACATCAGTGTAGTTTGAGAAGAATTAGATGAAAAATTGCCTATACTTTGATTTAGTCAATTCACACTTGTGTTGGGATGCACCAGTTCATTGTCTGTGTTCAAGCCAGTTATTAAGACTACAAGTACATTAAAAATTGCATTTGTAATTTGAAAGATGAAAATGATTCAGGTTTACAAATATGAATACAATTGCTGCTACATTTAGCACTAATGAAAAAAAACCAATAAATACAAAAATCTGGCCTGATCAAGTCTTGCACATTGTTTAATTTACCTTGCAAATTGCATGCAAATTGACATGTACATATAGTTTAACCTAGTTGTTTTGGCAGGGTCTTGTGTGTGCTGCAGACTGCCCGCCACCAGCAGTATGAGACAGAAGTGAATGCACAGGGGCTACGCCCATAGTTACTGGGCAGGCATGGAGGAACTTATGTGCATGCAGGCAGTAGAGTGTGGGGAGGAGATTTTCACAGATTCATGACTTGTCTTATACATTTGCATGGGTTTTCTAGGCTCACTCTAGTTTGCTTATTAATGAGAGTTATTCATATTGATGAAGTAAGATGGGAATTTAATTTTTTAACCCAAGTACAATAGATATTTCAAAAATCAATCTATGGCTATTGTGTTTCAACTGAAACTAAAATCATTCTAGCGTGAGCCTAGCGTTGTGGTTTTGGATGTTTTTTTTCCTTATGTACAGCATGCTTCCTGTGTCTCCATCCTTCCATGTGTACACCACACATAACCTTTTCATGATAATACATGTATTTATCTCTGTTATGTAGGCTGAACACCGTGCTGGTGAGGCTGAGAGGACAGTGGCAAAACTCCAGAAAGATGTTGATAATTTGGAAGGTATGAGCATGAAAACTGTGTGTTGCCATGCAAAAATCACACTTTGCCATTTCCAGGTCACATATTATGCCCCTCCTTCCCCCATTACCAATTTCACTGAGCCCTTTCATTATTCACCATTTAGAAGCCTAGTATGTTGATGCTGATGGGGGAAAAGCAAGGACAGGTTTGATAGCATGCTACAGATGAAGACCATGAAGAACAATGACCTAATGAGTTTCAGGTGTTTCAGAAGCTGTTGTTGCTGCCATGGCAATAGCTTTGTTTTGGTTGCCAGGGTGGACATCAGCTGTTTGGCATGTGCATGTGGATTGCATTGTGATGGTTTTTTTGCTGATCTAGTAAGTCTCTTGCAGGCTGATCAACGGGCCGAGAATTTAGATAAAGAAGTGAAATGGTTGAAAGAACAGTGTGAGAATTTAGAAGGTAAGCCGGGAGTTGCTGTGAAACAACATATCTGGAAGCCTTTGAGGTTATGATGAACTTGAAGAGAACCCAAATTGGCAAGATTAAAGACAAAAAATGAAATTGATGTTTTGGTAACTGCTTCCAAAGACATGTTTGGAGAAAAATAATTTGAAATTTCCCTAATTGTTCACATTCCAGATGTGTTCCACTTTCACTCCAGGTTCTTGAATTGTATTTTATACATTGCTGTGGACTGAGAGAATCGTGAGAGCTGATTTTGTAAATGTGTGAATGTTTGTCTGAATTAGAGGATGAACCCAAATGTAGAAGTTTAGATGCAGATAGGTATCCTGGACTTTTCCCATTTCCAATTTTCAATAGCCCTCACAGAAACTGCAAAGAAAAATTCATTTTGGTTTCTTCCCACTGCTTTGAATCCCATACAGTATGAGCCTGTTTGTATAAATGCTATGTATGGAGAAGGGAACAAGAATGGGGGCAGCTATGCCAGATGATGTCTGACTCTAAGACTCCACATACTGCTCTGACACTTAAACTGCACCAGGAACCTGTGCTTCAATTTGCTATGTGGGCAGGCTTCCAGGTTTTTGAACCATAGGTGGGCTGTATTTTTACACAGGCCTGTCTATCGGCCTCTCTGCTGGGGGTAGAAGAAAGGTCAGGAAGATGAGTCAGTCAGTGGATTGGAGACGAGGGAGGCAGTAAAGGCAATGGAAAAGCCCACATTTGGCAGTCTTACCTGCAGGTTGAAAGGGTAAACCTGCTTTCCATCCTGTCTTAAATATAACATGTCTCTGAATGAACACCATCTGTTATTTGCATCGGCGAAAATCTAGTTAAGGCTTTTTGAACCAGGAGAAATTAAGACAGAAAAGGGCTTGTGTTTAGCTTTAGATTTACTGTTATGCTCACAGTTCGAATTTGCCGTCTCATTTGTGCTAAAATGTGATGTAACCCTACAGTCCCACTTCCCCTCCTTATATAGCCCTGCGTGTGTTCAGAGAATGCCCGTTATATCCTAGATAGAGCAGTGTGGGCAGGCTGCTGGTTAGGCCCTATCTTATCATGATGAACATAGGCCAAGGATGTGTAGAAGATATGTTTTTGGAAGTACATATTATCTGACAAATAAATGATAACCTTGGTGTGTCACCTGATAGAAATGTTATAGAAATGGTGAGGTGGTACTTAAATTTGGAGGTTCTGCATTGGACTTTCTCTATGATGCAACTCCCAAAGATCAGATTAGGTTTTGGTAATGGCTATATTGAATTCAGTGCTGCGGCAAGCCTTTTAAGATTTCTACATCTCCAGTCTTGAAGATTTTTATCTCCCAGCTCTCTTTTACAGTTACAGATTGCATATAACAGTCTGCTGACTTGCCTTCATTCAGTTTTGGTCACATAAAGAGGAAAGTAGTCCCAGCCATTGTATTGGTCTGGGTTGTGTTTACTTAAGGATTGGGAATGTTTTTAGTGTACACTACGTACACAGAGATTAAAGGAGTGAGTGAAGCACCTTAATATTTGCCTGTCATTATAAAGGTATAAGTCCAGGGTAAATTTACTGTAGGTTCAGATCATTCATTGCATTACCATTGCAGGGTCAAGTCTGGTAAATAGAAAAAGGCGGGAAAAGTTGTAAGAGATAAGGGAAGAAAGCAAGCACAGTAGATGACCCCTCAAAATAAAAACTTGAAATTTGAAACCAAGCATTAATTGTGGCTCCCCATTGTGACATTAGAGTTAAGTGACAATTTCTCTTAAAGCATCACAACTGTGCAACATTTAGTTAACAAGGGAATGGACACTAAAAAAGTTAATCCTCTTTAAAAGATTGTGAAATTGTGATATCTCTTTGCTCAGAAGAAAGAAAATCTAGACTTCAGCAGTTGAATGGTTTCCCATACCTTGCCTAATGTACCAGACACTGGACATATTTGCTCTAGTAAGACTCTGGTTTAGCTTCTTGCCTTCCCCAATGCAGTAGACATGGCCTGTGTGAAGTGGGTTAATATTGACATGAATGTGGCCTGTTTATATTGAATGGAGTTTGTGTGGGTCAGTGTGCAGGAGGTGTGCCCAGGATTGTGATAGAAGACACACATGGTTTGGTAGTTTAATTGACAAAGTAGAGTATTAGGTATGCCGAGGTCACGCTAGCTTCTATTGTTTTCACAAATGGCGAAAATAATATTTTGGGATGAAATAAAAAATGATAGAATTCTGTAACCATAACTGCAATTTTCATTTCACGAACTTTGCTCTTGCTGAATAAAAATTGAACTATTTTACTTGAGCCAAAACATTGTTAGAGTGAGCTCGGTCATATAAGAACATCTGATACTAACAACTAGATATCCTTCTCTAAAGCCACCACTACCTCGACAGAAAGAGCAACAAAATGGCAGCCATGACCCTGTAGTTTTTTTCCCCTGTTCTGCTAATTTGAACATCCATCTTTGAATGGAGATGCTGTATTGTTTATCATGTGATTTCTGATACTCTGATGGTGAAAGATGAGGGAGAAAATGCTGTAATGGTAGTTGATTTCACAACTGCAGTTATTTTTTCCACAGCTGTTGATTTCACATGCTCTTCATTTTCACCTCAGGCTACTTGTTCATGGACAGTGAATGCTTTTCTGATATAGATTGTTCACTTTTCAACTTAGCAGTTATTTGCAATTAGTGTTGATTGATACTGTTACTTTTGCATTTTGATACATTGAAATTGTTTGCAACTTATAAGCATGATTTTACTGTTGTTAACCCAAGAACTTGCAACTTATCCATATTCAATGAAATTGAAGTCTGGAAATTTATTAGTGTAGAATTGATTTTGGGAATACTTGCAATTGGTATTCTTAATGCTTTTGAGAATTGGAACCTGAGTAATAACATAAGTGGTCCTATACTTCATTGGACTATGTTTTGGAAAAGGTTGCAGGGTCCTGGGGGTTGTTTGCTGCGTGATCTCACTTGACGTGAACCCTATTGCATGTTGTTTTCTTCAGACCAATTGCTAAAAGAGAAGGAGCAAACCGCCTTGCTTAGAAATGAAATGGACGCCTATTTCGCAGAAATTGCGACAATGTGAAACTTGCATAGTGAATGACATGGTTGGTACCAATAAGTCAAACTGATATTGCTATAAAATGGTTTTTTGTTAGTTTTGTAATCCATGTAAGGTTCACCTAACAATAAGGGGTTGGGTAAGAGATAAAGTCCAACCGAAGCAGTAGAAATCTTTTGTTCAGTTTTCTGCAGCTTCGGGTGTGCGCAACTACATGAATGCAGCTAGGCAGCCAAAGCCATCCTTTGATTTACTAAAATAGGAATCCGGCCACCATATTAGTAGGGCATTATACACCTGGCCTTCTCTGTGCTATTTTTGGCAGAGCTCAAGGTTTGGTCTATTAGCTTACCTTGAAAGGTCTGGTAGTGGTATAAACCATTCTATATACACATGTTATCTGACTGGTTCTAACCAGATTTCATAGAGCCAATTGAATTGTGGTGAAATTTTCTACCTCAAGTCTCAATATGTACAACTTTTTACACAATTGGGAGTTTAGATGGGAGGAGGGGGGAGGTATATATTCTTGTTTAAATTTTATCATGGCACCTCAAGCTGCATTCAGTCACATTAGGACTCGATAACAATGGTCAGGTTTTGTCATATTTTAAAGTTATGTTGGGTACTGCATGAACCTTGCATGGCATTGAATCTTTATTTTAATTCTCTTACTTGTGTTGGTCTTTACATAACCTGTTGCAGCATGCTGCATTTATGATCCTCTACATCTCAAAATGAATGCCTCTTGTCACACTTCATCTCTCTGAAAGGGATATCAACTGTTTATTTTGGTTTAAAAAAAAAAACATTTTCGTGGGGTAAAGGAGATTTTCTCATACCTGCCAATAGTTAATAAATCCATTCCAACATTCAAAATAAGTACATTGTTTTTTATTTCCAAAAAGTTTTTTGTGTATGAAGTAATCATTTAAGAGATTATTACAGAAGTATAACCATCTATGGTTTAGGTGGTAAAAAAGAAATTTATCATATTTCTATGAGTTGTTTGTGAAATGTAAACCTTATACAAACAGTTCTTATCCCTTCAAGAATTTCTGATATTGAATTTGCTGACCCAGAAATTAAAGGTTTGTAAAAGTCGCTATATTTCCTTTTGGAGGGACATGTAAGGTTTGTACATACCAACCCAATTATTTCATCTGTCAAGATATTATTTGGCAATTTTTCAGTTTAGGTTTATTTTGTAATTTCTCAGACTTTCTATTATATTGTCATTATGTGTTTTTTTTCCATCATGTTGCTTTCTTCTTTAATTCACACATTTTTTACGTGGACATGTCTCATTATCAGTTCCTTTCAAAAGTGTCAGTTACTGTCAGACTCATTTGCACTTCTGTATTTCTGTCTTATAATTGTGATACTTTTTAAAGAAATAATTATCATATATTACTACAGATTCCTTTTTATGTCAAAAGTAGCAGTTATGTCATGTAATTGTAGAAAGTATGTTAAAAGATTGGAGTCATTTTGAATTTTTGGGAAGTTCAGTAAATGACAAAAAAGAATTGAGTAATTTTGTAATTCATGATAGAAAAAATTTAACTTAAATGTTAATTAATAACTTAAATGTTAATTAACATTTATTTATATCATCACTAATAATTTCTTTGTTTTTTCCCACTTTGCAGGGGAACTGGAAGCAGAGAAGGAGAAATTAAATAGCCTTAGTGCAGAGCTTGAGGCAACCTTTACTGAACTTGCTGGTTATTAAAAGTTTTACATTTCTAACACAAGTCAACATTCATACCAGATTTAATATAAGAAAAACTTGGTGACAAGAACGGCAACAAGAATATTTTATGCACAATGATGGCATGGAAGACTACTTGACCACTTAATGTGGTAACATTTCTCACAACCAGTTCGGGAATATTGTATTTTCTAATCCTTTCAGCTTGTTCTTGGCAAATATAGCGGTTTAGCAAACTATATGCTAGCCAAAGCAACTGGGGGTACTTGTTATATGGTGTACAGGTCTTCTTCTTCATAATAGAGCTTATAGCAGTATGTATCTTTAGATGCTTCCATCTGGAAAGAAGGGCTGCCGTGATAGTAGGAAGATGTGTATGTGTTGACAGTGTACACCTGGCGGGCACTTCCCAAGTACCCTCAACGTGGTTTGGCTGGCAAACCGGGTTTTTGAGCAGGTTCCTCTCATAAGAAACTCTTCTTCTTTTACATTAAGAGACAGGACAATTTTTGCAAGTGGTCCAAAAACTTTGGTTCTTTGTACCTTCTACTTATTATTATGTATTTAAAATGCGATGGAAAATCTCAGTAACAAGGAGATATATAATTGGATGGATAGCTCTGGGCAATATCCACAAACCAACAACTGGATAGCTTTCACGGGACTGCCTTGATGTATTTACTAGCCCGATTGAACCCAAGCCCAGATAAACCATTATGTACAGATAAATCATGCAAAAGTGGCTTAGAATAAGACTGAGGTGATTGTTTACATGCTTTGTATAGTCCTGTAGAAATGACTTGACTTTAGTGTCTGTAGCAGGTAGTTTTGTGTATATTTCATCCATACATTTGTTTATGAAAATATAAAAAAGGCTAGTAGACTGGTTATAGGTTGCTGCTATGTTAATGAAACGCTCCCTTTGCAAAAAGCTGGCTTAGTAAGTATGCTTTATAAGTAACCCAGCAACTTGTAGAGCCAGCCTGTTCAAATCGAATAAATGTTCAACGGGCGATCCTTAGATTACTGCTTTTAGCGATCATGTATTTACTTATTTTCTATATTATATACTAGCACTTTATGCTAACACAGTTATAATTCGATTGGATATTGCCAGTTTGTTTAACCGTCTATAAAATTTACCTGAGTGTAATCTGAAGAGCAGGTTTATGCAGATTTATCTAGAGATCACGTGAAACAAATTTTATAGAGACAAATGGAGGCTTCCTATTGGAATAAATTGCTGGAACCGATAATTGTGTTTTGTTTTATTGTGCGAGTGAGTGAAATTGTCTTCGCATAGGCCTTATTATTTCGACTTGGATCTTCATTGATAATTTGCTTAATTCAATCTCGTTGATGAAAATTGATACACGGAGAGCATTATCATGAAAATTAACTTGTATTTGAGAGAAGTTACTTGATAAAATTGAGTTCTTCGTGAAATGGGGGAAAAAACGATAGAATCTGAACCACTTGCCCAGCGCCTTATATGCGCACCGTTAAGAAAAGCACCAGTTCTTACAAAACTTGTGGGTGCTTTGTAGGCAGCTGTGTATTGGAGTATCTGTATATGTTGTCCTTAAATGAAGATGATGGGCCCTCGTTAATATACAAGCCTTTATTTAGTGTAATAGTATTCGAAAGTTGTCTTTTCATGCCAAATATACGCACCCCGGCGTAGCTACGTTGTCTCTCATTTGAATTTGAAAATAGCTGTATGAGTTGCTAAGAATCCGAGGAGCACACGTTTGTCGCATTTAGTGCTGTAATATATATAGAACTTCAACTAGCGCGATCAACACCCAATTTTACAAAACTAAAATACGATGATAGTAATTGTCAGAACAATTTTCAAAGATTTATAACGCATGGGTAGCTAAATAGCTTTCACTAATGTCCATTTTAGAATTCCCATGTATCATTTGTATACGGTTATCTTTCATATGTAAGTCAACATTTAATCGGGGTTTTTTTTTTTTTCTACATGAATGTGGCCAATTTAACCGAAAAGAACTGACCGATTCTTAATGGCATTGCGGCAGGTGAGACTCGACGGAGAAGTGAAGTCCACATTGCAGCCATGTTCACCTTACGTGATCAAATCTGAAACGACGGAAATCATATGAAGAGGAATGCCGTGCTATATATGCCGTGTAGAGTAAAGTTGAATGTTAAAACCTGTCATTTTAGCGTAATTGTTCAAATGTTTCATTTACACTGCCATTAAATGCGAAAAATTCTGCTAAGTCACGAATCATGTAGTATTTGAAACACTCTGAAACACCTTTCAGTCGCATGTAACAGTACTTTTGCCAATAATGTTCCTTTATTGCGTTCTATAACCAGCCTCAACCATTAAGAGTAATATCAATGTAATATTACGGTTATGAAAACAAATTAAACGAACAGATAACGTTCTATCTTGGAAAGTTCATGGCAACATGGCGACAGTAAATTGTTTAATAGATTTAACCAACAGGTCTTCCTTATATGTGAATAGTTTTCTTCTAAGAGCTATTCTGAGGAAAATGATAAAGCACGCCTTTTCTTGGCTATTAAAAGCAAAAAAATTCAGGTGAACGTCTCGAAAGAAGCTCTGGTACAAATCAAGACATGGTATTAGAAAATAAACGGCTGAAGTATTTTTTGCGTATCTAAATTTTAACGACAGTAAACCTTAGTATTATTTGTACTCCAAACTGCATTTGAAATTTAACGAAATGATACCAGACATGATTATGGTGTCATGATCATTAATAATTATTATTATTCTATTAAATGGAAAAGCATATTGCAGTTGCATGTCAAAGTTCAATAGGGTACATTCTCGTTATTAAATATACATGTCTTACTTTGCATGTCAAGCCATACTAGAATACAGATAATGCCCTGTATGGCTCGTCATCGTCCCTCACTACATAATTTCAAAGTAATCAAAGAGACCCAGTACATGGGAGGGACGTATTCTCTGACCACAGGATGCGATAATAGCTGTTACAAAAATGTTGAAAATCACAGTGTAGTATTTTCGGGGGCCATGATATCAGAGGGTAGGAGGGACGGGGTACCTTTGTTTGTGGGTTATCATGTTGTGAGAAGGAACTGATCGGGGAATGATCAAGAGCAAACCAAAATGCAACTCCGCTAAATATTCCTTTATATTTCAACTTCTTTTTATCAATGAGTTACAAGTTGTTACTCCTTGTTTTTATCTAGTACACATTTACATGTACCTTTGTGCAGTGCAATTTCTGTTATCTTCAACGCTTTTTTTCTCTATCAGTGTAAATAATTACAGTAATGAAAAAATGAGTCAGAGGTCGCACGCGTTCATCCTTTCTTATCATTTTATGTATCATTTTTCAATTATTGTAGCAGACTATTCAGGGAAAATACACCAACAAGATGACTGATGACAGGGATTATCATATCGATTAAATGAAAATATGCAAAGGTTTCTTTTCAGGATTTTAGACTAGCATTCCAAGTTACACGAGCATTAAGAGCTAATTTTCTCTGAACAACTTCTTAATGGACCAATATTACAAATATAAATTGAATCTCAAAAGTGTTCCATTGTGTTTCTACCATGTGAATTTTGGTATTAGGTGTTCAAATGTTGTAGTCAGTAAATGAGCCTAATTTTGAAGAACGAAACATCTAAGATCGTATAGCGTAACTTCCCAATATTGCCTACCCCCCCCCCCCCCACACACACACAAACACCCCTTCGTTATTTAAGATGTGCAGCAAGCTGTCTTTGAGGAAATATAACCGACGTCTCCAGAAATATATGTATCTTTCTTCCTGTCTTTAAGTGCAAAAGTTCCTTTAAACAGCCCCAACTTTAATCTTTATGCATATAATTGTGTCCGTCACCAAGCATTTTATAAAGCAAATTTAAAATACCCCCTCTTTTTAAGTATCACTTCAAATCATTTGCAAAAAATCTTTTCTCTGACAAAACTCCAAATATTGTTTCACAAAAAGATAACCTACCATGTCTGATTCTTTCTCTACAAGCTTCTCGGTCTCACTGCGTTGTGCCAAAAAGATTTATATTTTACCAGTGTACATTTTAAAAATCCCTCAGAAAAGGACATCAATGGCATAACTGTAAAACATGATCCCCAAAAATTAAAAAGGAAGAAACCTTATTAAGTTATTATATATTACTAATATTTGTCTGACAATAGTGAGAATGAAGAATCCTCATTGGGACAGGTTGTCATGGGAGATCTGTAGTAGAAATTGGATTTCAATTTTTTTAAACTTATAAAAAACAATCGGAACGGGATTACATTTTTTTATTTCCAAGTTGTTCAAGTTAAGATGTATTGTCCATTTCAAAAGTAGGCAAATTTAGTCTTCTTCTGGCACATACAAGAGGTGTATTTGTGCATTTAATTTTTTTTTCCAATAATCAAGACAAAATCATTTTGGTGACACTTCTGATTAAAATCATAACACAAGGCTAACAAAATCAGTCTATGTACAAAGTTTTATTTCCCAGTATGTATATAAAACCATATACAAAATAATCTGAGTAAGCTTATCTAAAGTTACTCTGGAAGTTACTGATTCTAACATTTCACCAGTTGAATACCACACAGAAGTTTTAGTCCAAATTTTCAAATAAGAACAAACATCTTGTGCATTTAATTAAAAAAAAAAGTTGGGCATACTTCAAAAATATCTTCACAGTGATCTCTGAATAACTCTAACTCAGTCTTCATATATTCTTTTCTTCGTCTATTTTCTAAAAAAGAAGTATTTATACAAATAAAAATCCAGTATTTATAAGAAAAGTTTCTCCAGGTAGCATTTCAATTATTTCAGCAGAAGTCTCTAAATCTCTCCACTTCTGACTGTGTTCATAGCACCCAGTCAAATTCTACTCAAAGATCTTTTTCTGATGGTAGCGATTAAAAGTTGGCCTCTCCTTTGCTGTATTGCTTCACACTGAAAATAAATAATTTCAAATAGGACATTAAAATTTCATACTGAATTCCAATTAAAAACTTCTTAAGTATTAAAAAAATTAATTTAATTAAATGTATTTGAAAGCAGCCTAAAATTGCAAGCTCCTTCAAATGGGTAGAGGTAATTGGAAGCTTTATAATACTTTTTTATTTGAATTCAGGCATTTCCCAGTTGCGTCAATTCCTTAATTAGCAACCTTGCTATATGAGTAAGAATTTATAAACATTAGTTCTGCAGCAAGCAGTCTATGGCTATCATTAGGGTGCATGAATGCAGCTCTCCACCAGATTTTCCTTCTCCAGGGTTCAGTTTTGTCCTACTGGTGTAGCTGTATTAGTAGCAGGCAGGTTAGTTTGATGCTAAATCTATGCATGATTTGGGAAGATAGTGACTTATTGTTTTGCAAATGTAGAACAACAAAATCACTAGTCTTCCAAACCAGTCATGACATGCTAGGATTTAAAATGCAGCAGTAGCAGTCTCAGCAGCAGCAACAGACATAGCACTGAAGGTTCTACTGTTAGAAGGGCCTCCAGTTCTAACTAATTGTTCAAGCTATCAGTAGCTCTTCACACTGTCATCACTGGTAAAGAATTAAATTGGCATGCCGGAGTAAAAAAAAGTTCATCCAGAGGTCATTATATTGTTAATCGAACGGTATAGAACTGATGTGAGGAAAATGTCACTCGGAGTTATCAAATTTGCTGTCAGTGCAAAAAAACACTTGAGAAAACCACTTGACTTGTCGCACATAAGGCTCTTCACTTCACTTCAACCATTTCAATGCAGAATATATGAAGCAAATGTATCTTTTGAAATCTCTTCAGTCTGAGATTTTTTATCTTAATTTGTTTCCAAAAATCAGTGTCAGAAGAGTGTAAAAAAAAGGTAATACACACCTTCTCTGTACACAGCCACACATTTTGATGCCAACCCAAATATACAGTCTTTGGTTTTCTCAACATGTTATGCGAGTTATTATTCCCAACCCAGTATAGGCAACTAAATAGAAAAGCAGCTAGCAATTAAGGACTGGTGTACCTCATTTGCAGTAGGTATTGTGCATTCTGTATGTGGTCCTGGGTGCCAGTGATGGTGATAATACGGTCAGTCGACCCAGGAAGAGCTTCATCTATAGTAATGCTGGCACCGGATCTCTGGCGGACATTGCGGATTCTGGAGCCACCTTTACCAATGATTGCTCCAGCCAACTGCAAACAGATACAAGGAATATGAATAACGTGAATCACACTGAAAACCATTACACTTACTGCAAAATATTTCACTAATTTTAAGATTATAATTAAAATGTCTTTTGCACAGCAGGTCTAAAGAAAACAATGATAAGGAACAGCTTCAGGCTATCACAGGTAGATATTCTGCCTTCATCCATGATAACCTTGAAAGTACTGAAATATGGTGAACTTACATCTTTGGGAATGCTAACTTGGGTGGTAGTGGTAGCATTGCAGAACATGTTGCCCACATCTCCCTAAAACAACATGGTAAAGAATTCTTAACATAAAGGTTTCAAGCTCACACAGACTGTGCTTTGCCTATATTTCTTGTAAAATAACAACTGTATTTTGGCTTTATATCAAACAGATGACTTCTAGCATCTAGAACAGTAGAAATAAAGCAATCTCTAAGTACAACAGTCTTTAGAGAAGCTTAAAATGTATGCTGCTTACTTACCATGTTATCTGAGGCAAAATTCTGGTTCATGCCACCACCGCCGCCGCCCATGCCTCCTCCTCCTCCTCCGCTGCCGCCGCCCATACCACCTCCCATTCCTCCACTGCCTCCTCCGCCGCCCATACCACCACGGCCCATACCACCTCCACCCATTCCTCCACGACCCATGGCTGAAATGATAAAAAAAAATTCATCAGCAAATAAGGTTTTTACCATTGTAAAATTTTACAGGTTTTGTAGTGCAGATAATGGTATGTGTTAAATAATGGAACTGTCAGTTTCCCTAGAGCATAAAGTATATCTTTCTGTATTTGAACCTTTTACTGTTTTAACTTGGTCAAACTTACATCTCATTCCACCTCCCATGCCACCACCTCCTCCATAGCCACTGCCATTCATACCACCGCCACTGAAATCACAAACAAAAACCATTAAGTGAAATAATGAACAAATGATTTACAAAGTGCAAAACAGAAACTTACTGTTCTCACAATGTGTTTATGAACTGGAGATGGCATAAGTACATGTAATAACTATTTAGAAATATATAACATTATCAGCATAATACAAGTGATAAGAAACTCAGCCACAAAATATTTGCTGTTTCACTGTATGTCATATGGTGCTAGTCAAACTCACCCCATGCCACCACCTCGGCCACCACGTCCTCCTCCAAATCCTCCTGGTCCTCCCATGCCAGGCCTGCCTCCTCTCATACCACGGTCCATGCCGCCACCGCCCATACCCATTCCCATGCGATCACGGTCACGGCCACCATCCATTCTGAAATATAGAATTTTTTTGTGTACTGAATGAACAAAGATGTTCTTTATTACAAAAAACAAATGTAATTTTAAACTGCTCCTAAGGAAGCAGCAGAAATTGACAAAAGTTTCTCATTCTCCTTCACAAAAAAACCAGAACCCAAAACAAAACATTCCAAGGTCAATGCGGAGAAACAGTGTGAATGGGAAAACATCCAAAAACACTTTGGGTTGCATTCTATCCTCTTACCTTCCTCCTCCCATACCGCCACGGTGTCCACCACGGCCTCCGCCACGTCCACCTCCCCGGCCACCACCACCTCCACCTTTCTGGTTGTCAAAACTAGTGAAGCCACCGTAATCCTCCACATAGAACTCATTATAGTCTTGTGGATTGTATGGGTTGTTGGCACCTTTAGGTGGAGCCTAAAAATATGGGAAGTCATTAGCGTCTCTGTCGCAGAAATGAGGTATAGATTATACAAATCAGGAAATATTTGGTCCAGGATTAATTTGCAGGTGGCAGCAGGTGCAGTGCTGCAGTAATCAGCTCTGAGCCTGTTAATGGGATCATTAGTTCAGGCATCCAGTCTTAAAAACAAGATTAAACTGTTGCTCTGTCAAAGTGAGGGTTCTTAAATATTGCTGATCATATTATTTTCATCATATTATCTTTTCTATCAAACTAAGCTTAAATCAGAACAAAAATTGTCTCAGAATTTACTCTAGATCTACCAACATAAAAACAATCAGTCAGCAATAGCTCTAAATGCTTTATCATAAATCGAACTGACAAAAATAAAAAGAACATGGCACATTATTTAACAAATAATTAGGGACTCAGAAATCATAACTCCTCTTCACAACCACCAATGCATCAATTTAAGAATATGATGAAGCTTATTATCCATATTAATACTGGAAATCTGCTTAAGCACCGGAAACCTCTTTTACATCATTAAGGAAATCCTTTGTCCTACACAGCAATCAATGGATACAAAAATTTCTTTGCATTTCAGGAGGAAAAGGCACACACCTAAGTAAAAAGATGTTTACTTGCATAACATATGCTGTCCAATACAAAAATTGTAATGTACCCATTGTAATGTACCAATATAAAAAAATCAAATAAACTTAGAAATGTCCTTGATGTTGACAGACAGACCAGGATTCTACTTACAGTTTTCAGCAGCTCAATGATTGTAGCAATGCAGTCTGCCACTTTTTCTGGTTTGCCTGCAATGGCGCACACACGCTCTGTGGATTGGGGACAGCACTGGGAGTACACCTTGATACTGGTGCTGGTTTTCTGAACAGACAAATCACACACTTTACTAATAAAAACTCCCATGCTATTAAAGGTATACGGGAGCATTCAAAATGTTTGTAAATACAAAACAAGTACTCTACTTGAATGGAAATCACACAGATTTGTGATCACATATATAAATACATGTAAAGAGGACCGGATGCAAAGTCTGGATTTCAGTGTTTTCATTAGGTATAGGTAGACTGAGCTTGTAAAAAAACTCACCTCTCTCAGCTCCTTAATCTTGAATCCAGCTCTACCAATGATGCAGCCAGCCTGACTCTGGTGCACAAGAAGGCGCATCTCACAGTCAAAGTCATCTGAGCCTTTGTACTGCTGATACTACATTGAAAAAAGAAATACAAATAGTACAAATATACACACACAGAAACATACTTTAAAAGAGCAGAGGTACATCCTATCACAGAAAAAAAATCTTACATGTTGAGTGTACCAACCCTATCTGAATCACATTCAATTAAAGAAATGGATACATTTATATATGTAAGTCATACACATGCAAACACAAACAGACACATGTACACACACACACACACACACACACACACACACAAACATTAGCATTCAGGCTTATATAATTTTCACTTTTGTCATAAAGTGACATGTAGAAATAAGCAGTCACAGGTGTAATCATAAGAAATCCTATTCCACAACAGGGAGGGATGATGATCCCTTCTTAAGTCATGGTTGCCCAGGAAACAGCATTTCTATCTACCAATTACCAGGAAGAAATTGTCCTGGAAAATATCTGCTGTATTGAGTATCAATGTTAGGTAAAAGAGTGACAAAGAGAAATACAAAAACAACTGAAACTACAGGAAGAAATCACTCACTGTTAGATGTAAATTTTATATGACAAACACTTCAAGAAGCTAAAAACATATTGATTTTAAGCATGTCACAAAAATGCTGCTCTCATTATTGTCATCATGAAGCCTGTCTTTTTTTTAAGTGTCTTCAATAACTGACAGGTTTCACTAGATGTGTTCTGTGTCATGTGCTCTCATTAATGGTTCAGTCATACAATCATACAGCTCAACAAATTCCAAAGAATAATTTAAATAAAGCCTCCGTTTATAGCCGTGTCACTGATACAAGGAGAGCATGTTAGCCCAAGCCCAAAGAACATTCTGTACCTGATAATCTAATGACAAAACAACAAACTTAAAAAAAAAAAAAAAAAGGGGAGACGTAGAACTAGAAAAACTATGAAGAACACTTATTTTCAATAAACATGGTATTAGGTATTGGAGAAGACGGAACTTTTTCAATACAACAACACAACTGTACTCTCGACTTGCACTCACTTCAGTACAAAATAAACAAAATGAATATGTTACAATCATCTGCTTGAACCAACAGCAGTTGGTAAAATCAATGGCAACGGCAGATCCCAATGAACAAGGAACAAAAGGCAACAGGGTACAGAGCATAATTATTTCATGATCAACCCATTACAGTTTCATTCTCCACCTTTGCTGAGCTAATATTGCAACAATACCCATTATCAAATATCAATAGTCAATTTGGCAAAGTCAGGTAGCTCATTAATACGTCATACAAGAACCACTGGATATGTCAATACTCTTTCAAACATGCATAAACTTGGGGTTCCCTAAAACCAAAATCATGGACTATACAATGTAATGAGAAAGTTGTGTGCTGGCAATGCATTCAGTTCAGCTTAATAAAACTGTGCGTAAATGCCCAGTTACACCCAAAACTATGTCCAGCAAATTGCAAATGAAAATAATCACAACTGAAACCTTCTTGAACCATTTATTTGTTTTTAGGGAGAAATTCACATAATCTATTAACTACGATGAATTTGCTAAACATTAATTATATTTTCAGCAGTGTATGTTTTTTGACTGATAAAATTGGAAATTATTACTAGAATCCATCCACATGGATAGTGTAGTGATCTGATAACAAGGGGAAATGTTCAAGAAAAACCACGATTATAGCTCAATGTTCACATCTTCACATAAAACAAACATGCACTCCAACACACATGAATAGATCCCAGCATCACCCCCGAACTATACCAACATACACCATTAAAGTGAAAAACAAACAAACAAAAAAAATCTAAATAAAAGTCACTACAACATGCAAAATAGCACCTACACATGGCTTTTTTTTTGTGGTTGCCGGGGTAACAAAGCAAAATGAGGCTCAGTCATGATTTTGACATTTGCCTGAAGCCAGTCAATTAAGCCACATTTTAGAGTCTTCCACATCATGACGAAAAATTCAGTCTCTAATCTATAAAATGATATTTAATATCAAAATATACCTTTTAGCTATGTCTTATATCCTTGTACTCTCATATGAGGAGAGTTAAGACAAAAAAGGAATATATATATATATAAGCTATCAAATGTTCATAATCTAACTTCTAAGAAAATCCAGGTGTACTTACATCTTCTAGGGTTGGAATAATGTCGAGAAGACATTCCAATGCAGTGCCCAAGTCTGCTCCTATTGTGAGAATACTAAATAAAAAGGAAGAAAAAAAATACTTGTTCATAGGTAGGTAACAGTAGATTGAGTCACTTGTGTAAATGTCAGGCAGGCAACTTACATCCACATGTCTGTGATTTCTAATGACTTGGAAAATGTGTCTTTATGCTCAAAGTTAACATTAAAATGTTGAGTCATGAAATTATATTCACTCAAATGATTCCCATTTTTTTTCTTTGGTACTATTAACAAAATGTTATTGCAATGAAAGAAAATACTGACTGTAAATATCTCAAATTTATGAAAACAATGCAAGGACCGGGCTAAAACAATGGCATTTTCCCCAAAAAATTGCCATACAGCTAAACAGATTTTAAAGAAATTGCACTTTTCCTTCTTGCTTTTCACATGCTTTATACTTCGGCCACTGAGGGGTCCTTTTTCTTCATTTATTCAATATAGGAGTTACCATAGTTACTAATATAAGCATGGTGAATAAAGGCCAGTGGCTGGCATACCGTTCTGGACCGTGGCTATCAGGGACAGTCACACTTGCATTGTACTGCAGCGAGGACGGACATGTTGGAGATGATCCGAGGTCAGGTCAAGGACATGTCAAAGGTCATGATGTGATGTTGGACATTACAACAAGATTGCATGTGTTGGAGATTGGTGGGCAGGGCCATATGGGAGAAGACAAAGAAGAGAGAATAAACAATAATCATTTGGTCACATAATAAAATAATATTTGTTAAAATTTCAATGTGGTGGAATGAAATATACAAAATAACCAACTATTTGGATGGTCATAAATGATATAATTGCAAGTCTGGGCAGCTGCTATTGCATGTACATAATCTGGAGAAAGAAAAGGACAATATTAGACATGGACTTAATTAAACAATACTAAGAAGGATGTAAGATCCCCCAAGGTAAGCTATATTAAACCAGTTGGGTCCTGGGAGAAAAGGATGGAGATGATTACTTCCTGTATAGCTTGGACACAAATTAAGTTAATTAAACTCTTTATTACTAGCATATTCAAGTCTAATCTTCTGGTCAAAGTATACACTTTTGCAATTCAATCTGTTCGGTACTTGAGTGTGACTCGGCATAAAACTGCTTTAAATCTAGTGGGAAAAAATGGAGGTGTTATCAACACAGAGTGCAAGCTTCAATAGCATGTGGGGCAACACATTGTGTGACCCTGGGCCCATGGGTAGGACCTGAGAACCCTGGGGATGGAGACCAGACCTGGCGAATGAACATCAGGAGGGCTGATCTTCTGTGGCGGGCTGGAGTAGAAGGCGACCAGTATTCTTTGTGAAGTGGGAGAAGACCTATAAAACTTGGGAGGAAAGGCAACTAAACTATCAGATAGAAAAACAAATACCAGTTCATTAAAAAATTGCAATAATTTCATGTTTCTTTAAATTTTTCTTCAATAAAAAGAAGGAAAGGAGAAAAATCTCAATGTTACAAAAATAGACCACACAATTTTTTTTCTTTTTTAAAAAAGAGGTTTTCAATTCAGCATAAAGGGAAATATGGAGTTCTTAAAAAAAGAAATTTGCAACTATAGGCTATCATATGTAATGGCAATAAATAAAACTAACAGTGGAATATAATACACATAATATTTGGAGACCTTTTTGTTACAAAGAATGGAAATGGCTACATAATAATCTACTTTATGGTGTATGCAGCTTCTTATATTAGACCTCTCTTCTCATTGATCACAGCTTCCAATTATTGGAAAATATACAGGTGATCTCACAAGTCATTAATTACAAGATTCTACTAAAGTGGAAACTGGTTTGTGTAAATTTTTGATGAAAACTGGGTGCCCCAAGCTTTGGGATCCTAGGCCAATTACTCTGATTAAAAATAGAAGGCACTGACTGGACCAAATTTGCTGACGTATGATAATGTACTTACATCACTTCTCAGCCTCTTGATATTAGAACCGCCTTTACCGATGATGGCTCCAGCATTCTGCAATTAAGGAGGATAAATCATTATTTTTAACATAATTACAAATATCTATATATTTTCTTAGAAAAGACCAAATACATTACTAAATGCAAAATGTCTCTCTGTTTCATTTCTCTTAAAAATAAAGTGTAGTTAATCTAAACAGACATTTTCTTACCTTGCTAGCTAACAACAAGCGCAATTCTGTTCTTGGACCATCCCCTCTCCTGGGCCTTTTGATTGCTCCACCTTCTTCCAAGTCTTCTGAGCTGGCACTGCGTTTAATTCCTGGAGAGAAAATCAAAAACTGAAAACTTATAACACCAAAAGCTCTACAAGGTGAAGGCCTTCAGAGTTCCTGCTAAGCATGTAATATCAACCAACAGTAGCCACAAGTTGGTGGTGCAAATAAAAAATGCATCAGCTGCAAAATAGTTAAAAATAAAAATTACAATAAAAGAAAAATCAACAAATCTCCACAAATTCCGTGTCTTTGTGCCATCTCATTAAGAAATATGTATCAGCACAAGATAATTTCAAATTAGCATGATCAACTCCGTGATGATGTAACAAATCTTCCTCATCCTCCAGCTCCGATTTTCAGCCACAACTTTCATTTCCTAGCACAGGATGCTGCTTGTAAACACCCAGGACATTATTATCACCAGCTGACAACAGAACATACAGATTTATTAAATCTAGGCTTATATCACAGTGCAGTTGGCTTTCCAATACAAATCCTTCACCCTTTTTTTCCTTAGGTAGAACTAATATCATTTTCAACTACTCAGATGTCTCACATTGGCATAATCAGACTGGTATTATCTAAAAGATTGTATATCATTTGTCTTGCTCTGACGGTCATTATTATTATTTTCAATTTCTCAAAGGCCTCTTAATTCTATCCAAAGAATTCACTGAACAGAACCACACACACTAGATAAGCAGGTCCTGACTGAAGGCATTTTACAGGCATCAGACCTTTTTTTTTGGTTGTAAAAAAAATTAAAGGTCGAAATTACTTTAGGGACAGGGATCTCAGGTTGCTTAAGTTACAAAAAAAAAAAAAAAAAAAAAAAAAAAAAAAAAAAAAAAAAGCCAAGAAAAAATTGCATTTCTGCTTTACATCAAAGTAAAAAGTCTCAATTTCCAAGGAAATATCATATGTATTCAGGATGCGGATGCTGTCACTTATTTCTCTGCAATTTCCTTGTTTTCTAATAAAAAAAAACATAAAAAAAAACTACAATTCTCCTTTTTACAACAAACCAACAAGAATGTGTAGCAAGGACAGTTAATTGCATATCCATCAGATCTTCCTGTCACTAAGCTCACAGAGCTAACACATTGTTCTTGGCCATGCCACTAATTAGATCAATATCTGCCATGGAAAGCGGCACTTTTCAATATTGACAAAGCTATATGTGCAGTATAGGAAGTGACGCACAGGTTTGATTGTAAAAGACTAGGACATATTGATAACCAATTGCAGTCACCATAGCCAAATGGGTGAAAGCTTCTTTGACAGCCATGCCTGTGCAATAAAAATGGGTGCTGAAACTGAAACATCACCACATATACCTTGTGTGATAAATACCGCAAAACCTTCAGCTCCCTAAGACCATCCTCTGTAACCACAAAAAATGACAGTGCACTCATGACCAAGCAACGCTAGATAGTTTCCTGTTTCATTTCTCTACCTGAAACCGTCATATGGTTCAAATCATTTCTCAGAAAAAAATATCAGAACGGATTAATCAGAAACCCATTAACACCCCACTTCTGCCTTTATGATATTGATTGCTACTGCAACCCCCCTATTCCATTAAAGAGAAATATTAGGTCTGAACAAATTACCTGTGCTCATGAAAGCTAGCAACACTGTGTCAATATAAATGTCACAGGCATTAGCTCTGTCAGGAAATATGAATACAAAGATAAATCCAAATGATCTAGTTCGATAATCTTTCCCTAATCTCAAGCAATGAAGACTCATTCTCTTGACCAGCTTCAACCAAGCAAGCTTTTGACCACTGCTGTACCAGACTGTAAGACAAATACAACAGCACTTTGTACTAAAATGCCGTGTACAATGAGAACAGCAACTGAAGCAAACTACCAGATTACTATGATGATCGAACCATGTTATCGTATCATCTGAACAAGCCAACCGAGCCACCTGAAGTTAGTGCAGATCTTCAACATCCTCTAACCCAAGTTCCACTAATTGATTTTCTTCAATTCCTGCAGAACAATAGCTGTAATCCATCAACGAGTAGCAACAAGCCTTTGGAGACCAGACCATTCAATTTGCAGCAGATAACATGGATTTTTCACTCCACTGCACCACTCTATACGCTGACACATCTATTATTTCCTTACCAACCACATGCACACAGCTGCAGCAGACACCTGACCCAATGTTCTTCTGCTACCTGACATACAATCAGTTCTAAATACTTAACAATCATTGAGTGTTCTGGGAAAATTAGTTTTCCCTTGCCTCCTTGAATTTTTAGTATTCAGTTGGTTGATACACCCCATGAAATGAACTGGTGCTGGTGTGTAAAATTTGTATTACATGATTTAGAAAATCTCCCCCCCCCCCCCCCTTGAATTCACTATAACATTTAACATTCCAGCAACAGGCAAATCACACTCGACTTCCAAAGCTCCAGCAAAATACAGAACACAAAAAGGCAGGGATTTCTTTTTATTTAATGCAAATTAAAATAACTTAATTTACTGGATAACTTTGCTAATTTCCACGTGTAAATGAAAGGCTTTTGATCAAGAACAAAGACAGAAATCCATAAAAGAAAATTGGAACAGGAGGTTATAGTTTATTTTTAATCAGAGGTGGCAAAGTTTACTAATACCAACCAACAACAGACAAGGTATCAAAGGCAAATAAATGGAATAGAAACAAATTTGCGCTGTATCACATTTCTCAGTCTCCCGATTTCCTAGCATAGCATACACATTTCAGAACAATTTCAGAAATCAATGCCATGTACATTAAAACAGCTCTCTTTAACAGTGCCTTGCAATCCCCTGACGTTCAGCCTACACTCAAGCCACTTGACTAACAAATACAGCTGTAGCTATTCTGCAGCAGAATGGATTGGAAAAGAATAGCTATTGATTTCTATGCCACGTCGACTACTACGGCTCCTCAGCTCGTTTGACATACTATATTGATATAAAATCATTCCTATAAATATTTTAAGATTCTTTAACCAATTGATTCCCAGCGGAATTTCTTTGGTGGAGTTCTTTAGGAACAGATGTGTGGCATTTCACCACCTTAATCAGCTATTGGAAATCCATAGGAAACTCACCTGCTGTAAAAAAAATTGCTGAGGCAGTCTAGAACTTTGCACTGCTCAATTTTTTTGTTAATAGAAAACAAAATTTTCAATAAAGAACTGAAACTGACATTGATTTTCACCACACAAAAAAATTCAAATTCTATTCACTAAAAGTGTTTTGCATGTTCTGTATGCAGAATTGATTAGACTGGGTTGATGGACTTACAAAAAGGGAGAATACTTTCATTCCTACTATTAACTCATAATGTGACTGCTGCAGTACCAGAAATGAGGCCTCAAACAAATATTAGCAAACAGCAAGTCAAACTGCTCGAAACAAATTAAAAGTAGTGGTCAGCCAAGTGGTCAGTTTCCTTCATAAATATGTAGAGCTGCGGTGTCAAACATTATCAGAATTGCAGAAAAGCAAACATGCTGAGTATAAGCAGCACAACTAACCATTCTTTAAAAAGTCAGTTCCACAGCTCAAAAGGTTACAAATTTACAATACAAGAAGCCCTACTAGCTAGAACCACTTCCCATTAACCTTCCCCACTCATCAAGACACATTTTCCAGCAATTATGTTCTTCAGACAACCTGTTCTGGCCATTTACACCTGAAATGTTTTCCTGTATTTATGACTAAAGACCTCATCAACATGTGCCAGGCAAAGAAGTCAATCCAAACATGGTATTTATCCTATGGCAACATGTTCTAATACTGAAAGGCTACAGAGAATACTTTTAAGGGCGATCTTTACTATGATTTCTCCCAGAGTTATAGTTTTTTTTACTAACATGGTCTTTTGCTGCAGTATACCAAATGAACTATGAAAGTTGGCTTTAAGTGGCAAGAACTATTTCAAGGACTCTTCGAATCTTAACCTTAAAAAGAAATCTAAAAATCTCCTTCAATGTGTTCCTTTCACAGCACCTGAAATCAAACATAAAGCAAAACCAGATTCTTGAAATAAATGTACATATGTTTTTCAATAAAAAAAATCTTCCTGAAATGTTGATGAATTGGTATTCTTGGAAAATTCCATCTTGCATCTATGAATCCACCTGATGATCTTCATTGACACCTGGCAGCTGCAGCCTTCTATCTTACCTTCTCCCTCATTGCCATGGGGCATTACGCTCAACACATTTCCCCATTAAGACTTACCACATTTTTGTCAAATACAAAACACAAGGCAATAACATGACATAATGCATTAATGATTATGAAAATGCACAAAAGTAATACTTAAATAGTTCTGCACTGAAAGTTATTTTTTATCTTTGCATAATATCCAATCACATTCAAGAGCAGATATTTCCACTTTCAAATTTCTAATTCACAGTATTAAGCACAACAGTTCTTAGGTTTCTAGACAGCAACTTGTCCGAGAACAAGCCACTAGTCCATTCTGCAACTTAAAATGTTATCTTTCAGAAAGTTTCATTCACAACAATAAAACAGTAGGAAATCAAAGTTCTCACCTGACTGAATGTTGCTATCATCAGCCATCTTGCTTTCACTTCAGAAAAACACAACTGGGGTTGAATAAGAATTTCACCTGGCAGCAGCAGTCTTTTTCTGTGGGTCTTCACACAAATGACTGCCCTTTGTTTCTGCTGGAGACCTCTGAGGACCGGGGCTTGGGTCTGGTGATTGTGGTTTTATACCTGAACAATACACAATACAAGCCACATGTTAGCCAATAGGTGCAAGGCAGGCAGGTGATTGTCTAGCAAATTAACAAGCCCCATGTGACCACAATCAAATCATCTCATAGGCTATCACAAGTCGGTCTAATTATAATAATGATGGCTTCATCAATGCTGAACTCCAAATAAGGCAGATGGATGACGAGGATAAAGGTAAACATGCGAAAAACATCTTGTTTGCAAAATAAATATCCAGCAACTCTGCTATCCATCATTTCAATGCAGAAGAACACAAGTCACTCCTCTGGTGCGAGTATAATTTCTTAACGGCGAACTTAAACTAAGTTCAGGGCACAAATACATATCTAGAGTTTGACAAAAGGGGATTATTGACTGGTATTCAAATTAGCATCCACAATATAAATTTCCGACTGCTTTTAATGAGAAAACCCCAATCTTATCCAAACACATTGATTATAGTCAAGAACAAAGTGCATCTAGCAAAAGATGGGCAAATATTTGCATGAAAAAGACATTACAATGACCACGTAAAATGACATAAATCATAAATGGATTTTATATTATCATCTCTGAAGAAGTGTCGAGTGCTTTAATATACTGCTCTTGGTCCACGCCCTATTTACAAAATATATCTGGAGAATAGCTATATTAAGTGACGGAAAGATCAGCTACGGTCATAAGTATTAATATCTGTCATATTAAATCCAATCTTGGCATATCTATGCTTAACTTCATAAAAAAAGTAATAAAAATAAAAATAAAAAAGTGTTGTCTTAGGCCAGGCAAAATCTTATTTTGCAAAAATACCCATATAAGCACATGAGAATCTACAACCAAGTCAATATCATGTTTTCTTACTATTTAATCTCATTTCAATTCATCATCCACTGAACATTTTACTTCCTGCAATTCAGGAGTGTGAGACAAAGTGCACTACCTTGGGAACCTGCATTAATTAACCAGCAACTGTCACTCTTCCCTTTAACACTGGAGTGAGCAGTCTCCAATTAATGAAAGTTTTAGTATGCTGTGGTTGGCAAGGATACTTCCTTTTCTTGTGTCATGATGGGTATTTAAAAAAACCTATAGCTGATTTGCCCTTCTTTTTGACATTAATATACTAATCAGATCACTTGCATATCTTATATATGTTTAAGACAGGCATAATTACTTCACACTAACTACGTTAAAAATACATATCCAAAAAAAAAAAAAAAAGGGCCATTATTCAGGGAAGCAATTAACCATGACTTAAGATTTTACCTTCTATACGAAATCATTTACCTCTTATGTATTCCATCTTGAGTTCAAGGTGAGTTTCCCTACAGAGTGCAAATTTAACTTTATATTTAAATATATAATAATTGTCAATCAGAATTGCAGTATTTTGAAACAAATACTTTCCTATTAAGTTTGAGCAACTTCTACATTTACAGACCCCTAAGTCACAATCTTGACTAAATCAAAATGACTTGGCTCAGTCAAACCTTAAAAAAATGTTCATTTGCGCAAACAAATGTTGCAATATTTCTAAGCTTCCAATGACAAAATATGATGCATGACACACTGACAGTTGGGTGACCATATAATCACATAAGAATACGCAAACAACTGAAACCTCTGCACTTGCAATTCCAGGCAGATTAGTCTCTGCATCGCTTTCATTAAGACCAGGTGTAAATTATTCAGGAAGCCCCTGCTAAATTAACAGTTCTAGCACTAAAGTTTATTACCCACTCCAGGGAATCTTCTGTATGGTCAATACAGCAGGCATTTTGAGATTTCCATAGGTTTTGTATTGAACTAACAGACTGAGATCTACATTAATAAGATCATTTTTGTTGAAAAAATGTTACCTTGTCCCCTCAAAATGCTTAGAACTGATTTCTTCACATCTGTCTGAATACTCTTTTTTTTTTAATAGAAGGGCCTGTTCCCAGCACCCTTTTTTATACATTGAACAAGAAACCAATGTGTTATTTTTCTCAAGCTTCAGGGCATTTTAATGATTCAAAGAAAGCCACTTACTTTTCACAATATAATAAAAAACAATTCAAATTGATTACACCCAAGGCTTTCTCAGAAATGAAATGGAAACAATTTTTAGACTGGAGGATACAATTCCTATTGTTCAACATTAAGAACAGCGTCAGTGTGGATGTCATTTCTACAGTATAAATGGCACAAAAATATGACAGCTCTTGATTATTGCATAAAGGCAGACTAGAACATGTTAAAAACATGAAACCTGTTCATTCAACTAAATGTTACAAGCCCATTATAGCAAGTATTCTTTTCTATGCAACAGAAGTCTGTGCTTGCAATTTTATCTTGGAAAAAAAGTGAAAAATCTCTATGTTACAAAAATGGTAATCAAGTCCAGAGGGTCTATCAGGTATCCACATTTACAATGTTTGTAGAGTAGGTATCCTCTATTAACATACAACTGTTTGACTAATTAAGTGATACCTGACATGATTTAAATAAGGCTAGGAAACAATTAAAATAAATCACCTAGTTTTAATCCTATCACAACTGACACAAACCACTGCAGGAAAGAAATATTCAGGTTTTATTCATAATATCTTTTCTTCACTACAAATTCACCAAAATGTTGCAAAATACATTGGAAAAGCATTTGAAGCAGGTTTGCCAGAGGCCATTTTTTTCTACGCCTCTCATCAATATAAGAAATAACCATTTTGTATCTGGTAAGCCCTCAGCCTTTTTCACCTGTACCCTGCCCCACCGTGACCTGGGAAATATAGGATATCAATACCTTTCCATCTGGCGACAAACAACCACAAACATGCCCCAGTCTACATCAAAGAAATGCTTCAGCTACAATTCCAGACAGAGGTCAATATCATTAATGAAAAATTCACAAAAATTGGTTAATATCAAATAGTTGGGCAACAAAGGAACTGAAGCTGCCATCACGGGTCATTTAACTGAGACTAACCACAGAAAACTATAGCAGTGCCAGTCAATAATGATAGATTTTTGGATACAACTCCACCTGTGCAATGTTGCATGATAGCTTCTACAATCTTGCCATCCACTGGTGCAGTTTTTTAAGCCTGCAAACCAGATATCATTCAGACATAAATTCAAAACCAACTCCAACTAACAGCTTGTAATAAGCCTGGTCTTACTTTTAAAATGCAAAGCTCAACTCGTCCCTCAGAATCTGTGGGTATGTTAGCCTTCCCCAACACTGGTGAATCTGTCAGAGTTTCAAAAAACTGTTACAAAAAAATTTGCATTTATAAATAAAATGCACTGCTGGGAAATATCACAGTTTGAAAATCATTACATATTTTTTCACAAAAGAAAGGAATCATATTTTTTCTTCAAATTTTTCCTGTGTATTAGTTTCTGCATGTGCATGTATCATACAGCAGAAATTGCATCCATCCTCATAAAGGAATGGTGAAACATAGAATGTTCATTCATTTGAACTCAAATGAATGTGCAGTCACCAGGGTCAATAAAACCAAAGTTGGACAACGATTTGTCCCTTTTTTAATCATATTGATTTCCAGACTTCATAAAAAAATTCAATTCCTCAATACATCAAGAAGATGGCTAGAATTCAACAAAATTTCTTGCATAGGGAAAGAAAGGTAAATAGCTGAAAGTCACATCATTTAGGATACATTTTTTCCTTTCCTTTAAAATGCCAAGAAATGCAAAAGAGGGCAAGATAAATCATAATGAGACATGCGCCAGGATGCAGCAAATCAAGCTACACAACAGTCATATCTTGCTGATAAGAGAATGTTATCTGCATCATGAGATACCACTCTGCTCCCCAGCTGCCAATCACCTGAGAACCCTCCAATCATAAAAGGCCACATTATCTGTTCAATATTGGGTTGAGACTGTGGCTACACCGTGCCTTCACCAATACACGCAGTAACTAATGCAATAATGAGGACATAATCATGTTCTGGTTACCTTCCTTGTTCTGTCAATCCCTGAACAATGGGTCTGACAATACAATATACAGATGAAAACTGTATAATGTGACATTTAAAACAAACTCCAAGTACAGAGTCTGTGTGCTAATTAATGCAGTCCATAAGATACATTGATCCTTTTTTTTATTATTTATTCTGTCATATTGAATACAGTCTGCACTTGTTTGGTGGGAGGAAAAATCAATTCCCAGTCCCCCAGCAGGTGTACATGCTCTACCTGGCAATACTTGATGACATTGTCAACTGAGAATGACACATTAACACGTCCTTTCCATTTGCAATTTCTTCACAATAATATTATATACCTTATGCCCACACACAACAGTTCCATTTAATGAAGATTGTATGTATATATCTGTATGTATATTTATATATAAAAGCTAACTGTTGCTAAGTTACGGTCACCCTTAGCCCTGATCCTGATCAATTTTCAGTATGCTTCCAATTTCTATTTGAAAAATTGCATGAAAAAATTTTGCTAATCACCAATGACAATATTGATTACAAAACATATCATAAACATGTGACACTTTAATTCTTAATCATCTACTTTACATCCACCTCTAAAATAAATTGCCTATTTAAAGCGCACCTTAGTACATTTTAGTTCTGTATATAATACTTCCATTATGAACATATCTGCTCCTGCACTTATATCATGTATAAAAATAAATCAGATATTGAATTTCTAACCTTTGAAAGCCCTAACAGTTATTGTACAGGAATACATGTTAATGCGAATATTGTACATGCAGATCAACTAAAAACTTGGAACTCCTGACAAAATGGGTTAAAACGAGCAGGTTTACATGTACACCATTTACATGAATAACACAGGAAAAAAATAATTTCATTAATAGCTATAATTTTTTGCCCAATTCAACTTGTCACTAGGAAAAACATACTAAAATCTAACTGAGACACCAACATTCATCAAATTCAATGATTCATTCAACTTTAACTTCATACAATGAAAATTTCAAAAATGAGTAACAGGGTTCATACTCTGTCATCGCACAGACTGCATTTTATTCATTTACACTTTCCATAGACACTTATATCATACATTAGTTTTTTTTTAAAGGGGTACACCAAATTCCTATGAACATATTGTCAATAATAAACAATTTCAAAACAGAAATACCCTCCTTTTATACCCAAAAAGGTGGAAAGGGGGAATCAGAGAACTTTTCCTCAAAAACCTGAAAATTAGGCCAATTAAATGAATTATTGTATCCATTTCATGTGGAAAAAATATGTGACTAATAGATTAGTCTATTGCTAATTCATTTTAAGGTGAAATATCATGGATTTATTTTGTATAAAGTTCTATTCTGAAAGTGTTCGAACTTCCTAGGAAATACATTCACTAAAAGAATCTTACTTAAAGGGATAAAAACTGTTCATTTTAGAAAAAAAAAAGGGATTTTCCTAGGTTAAACAACAATTTTCCCATACTAACCAATGGTTCATGAATCTGTTCCAACATTCAAAGCTAGTCCCTGTTGTTTTTTTTTTTTTACTTAAGTTATGAGATTGTTACAGAGGGTAGCCATCTATGGAGGTCACTTGGTCTGATGGCAAGCATGGATTCCAGAATAACTGTGATTACTTTATCACCATTTTGTGAAACAGGGACAAGATGCTGGTTTCATGATAAAAACTGCAGTTTAACTCAATCTTAAGGCAGAAAATGTTTTTCAACTTTGATATGAGTCAGTAGTATTTTATTAAAATAAAACCCATGGACTTGTTCTAAATACACACAAAAGAAAAACATGTTAAGATGAATGACTTTTTGGTGATATTAATTGCTTAGGTGAGATGATATCAGTATTACACAAGGCCACGCATATAAGATTCTTAACTTTCACGGCTTGTTTCCAAATGTTTTTGCCTTGGTTGCATAACTTAGCTTGCACATACACATGCACATAAACAAGGTATATTCAGATACCAATATTGTTAAATTTAAAATAACTATCAAGTGATCATTAAACTGAAGACTTTATCATTTATTTTTTAATAGAATTTTTGTATACAAATGAGAACAAATTTTTACTAGTAGCCAATAACCATAATTTCTATGATTTCCAGTTTAAACAGTAAAAATGAAATATGAATCCAGTTTTCAAAGAAGTTTATTACCTTAAAAAGGAAAAACGACATGGATTTGAATTCAATTCAATTCAATGATATATTGTTCTATATGTGAACTATTTTTCTATGAATTATCTGCAGATTCTTCTTAAAGGTATAAAACAAATTAAACGAAACCCAAATTACTACAAATTACTAATATATATAGCAGTAGAAGGCTTTGGATTACAAGAAAATGTCTTGATTGATTGTAAAGGCTTAGAAGGGCCCAGTGGTGGGGGGCATGTATATTGAAAAACATACAATTCTTACCATAATTAGATAGAAATGAACTGCTTCATCAGTTAAAAAAATTCAAAATTATATAGAACATAAAAATGGTCTCCATTTTTTAGTGATACACTTAATTTCTGAGACTACCCCCTTCCCCTTAGCCAAGGGATACAAAAGAACTGCAAATTTGAAAGGGGTTGAAAGAAAAATAATAAAAATCAAAATAAATTTAGGATATCAAAATATCCCTAAATGTTTCAAAAATATACATATTGTATACCGAGAATGTCTAATGGTTTCTTTTCTGCGTGTTATTGGTATTTTGGAGGAAAAATAGTGTAGACTTTACCTGAGACAATGCTTGTTCTTGCGGAAGATCGCAAAATGGCCGCCGCGTGGGAACTTACCATATACCTCTCGAAGAAATAAAAAGGATATTTGAAAATCGTTTGTATTCAACACATTTTTTATCACAAATTTTATGAAACATGGAAAGTATAAAAAACATAAACTTGATATTCATTTATTGATAAAATTGTCTGTAACTTCTAAGTTAAACACTTTTTAATTTAAAAGAACATGCGATTTTAAAGAACACGGTAACCGGCCTTACACTCTTTTGAAAAAGAAGTCTAAAAATGGCGCAAATGTGCGAAATGGATTAAAGTTCTAGTAAGTGTTTTTAAGAGAATGTATTTCATTCACATAAAAGTAAATTGGTTTAAAAAGGTAATTTTCAAAAACAATATTTTAAGTGATCGAGTTGAGAAGTTTAGGTTAAAAAAATTTAAATTAAAAATTATTTAGCGAAGGTCTGTGACTGTGGGATGGGGGATAGGGGAGGGGGCTCGGATTAGTTAGATTCACACACATAAAATGCCTAAAATATATATTATCCACGTTTTAGACTGACCTAAAGCTGTGTTTTTCCTTGATACACATACTGCAAGGTCATTCAAGTTTCCTCCAATTTAGACATTTAATTCAAAAGGCCAAAATATGTTTTCTGCCTGCAACGAAAAAGACCCCCTCCAAAAAAATAAAACAAAAATAACATAAATTAATTAATTCATTCATTAAATAATAATAATAATAATAATAAAATGTGATTTGGGTGAAGGGTCCACAATACACAATGCAGTAGCACATAGGCTAATTATTTATTTTTATTAAAAATTGTCTGGAGACTTGGGGTGGAGTTACTTGGTGTGCTTTCTCCCTACAAGAACCCATGAATCCCTTTATGAGAGAGAGCTGTGATATTGTGAAGAAAACAGTTTGATTCAGGATAGTCTTTATCTCTTTCAGGGAAGTTGACAATGGAAAAGAAAGAAAAGGAAGGTTGCAGTGGCACACATTTTTCTCCAAGTGGTAACACATTCAGAAATCAATATAGTGGAACATTTTCAGTATACAACAATGAGAGGATAGTAGCCCGGAGAATCCCTAACCAAAATATTGTGTATAGGCTGTACCACAGAGAAACTCACAACTGTCGTCCAGGGTCACAGTTTCATGTTGCTAGATTATTTCATACTAATGTGTTTCCAAATTTCACAGTGGTGAATGTAGAAAAACCTCCTTGTTTTTTGAGAAAATTTTCTCCAGATGGGCGCTACTTTATTGCTTTTTCCTCAGATCAAACATCACTGGAAATCTATGAGTTTCAAGGCCCAGCAGCTGCTGAAACTTTGCTTCAGAACATTAAAGGAGATTTCACTGGAAGTGGCACAGACAGAGATTCTCTTAATATTCGCAGCAGTTTATTTGAAAAATTCTTTCGCCTCAAGAATGTAGTGAGTGTAGCCTCAAACGGGGAACATTTAAACCGAGAGTGCAGCTTATTCACAGATGATGGCCAGTATGTGGTTGTGGGATCTGCTGCATACATCCCTGAGGAGCCACATCCATATTTCTTTGACATTTACAGAAATAACGAATCAGTGTCACCAAACCCCAGGTCACCACTGGAAGATTACTCCTTGCATCTTGTAGACATGGTGTCAGGGAGGTTGAGTGACAGCAGACATTTTAAATGTGACAAGATATTTCTCTCCCACAATCAGGGTCTTTACCTATACAGGGACACCTTAGCAGTTTTGTCTGTGCAGCAACAAACAATTCATATATTTCAAGTAACATCCAGTGGCAGTTTTGTAGATGTGAGATCTATAGGAAGGTTCTGTTATGAAGATGATGAACTTGTTCTGTCAGCGGCTTTGACCCCCCAGACTCATCGCCATCCTCAGTCATCTGCTCAACAGCGTAACCAACAAAGACCTTTTAGTGAGGTTACACTGAACTCTTTGAAACATAGACTTCTGGTGTATCTCTATTGCAGGGCAGAACAAGAAGGTACAGCTCTGTCTCTTAGAAAGTTCTACCAGTATTTTGACCAGTTCAAGATGCTCAGAATGTGGAAAATGCAATTATTAGATGAAAATCACTTACTCATTAAATATGCCAGTGAGGAGGTTGTGACACTCAGAATTTCTGATCCAAATTCTCAACCTTCTTTCTTTGTTGTGTACAACATGGTGAGCACAGAGGTGCTGGCAGTATTTGAGAACACGTCAGAAGATCTCTTGGAGTTGTTTGAAAACTTTTGTGATATGTTTCGCAATGCTACATTGCACTGCGAGGCCCAGTTCACATGCTCTGCCAGTAGTAACATTCATGCCAGGCAAATTCAGCAGAGATTTAAGCAGACAATCATAAATGCCAAATTTGGAGGACACACAGGTGAAGTAATATTTAATTATACATACATTTTGCACAGAATAATAACCTTGAAAATGCCCAAATTTCAGGGGTTTTTTTTGAGATGGATAAAATTGTTTTTGAAAAAAGGTTATAACATATAAAATATGAGACAAGTTACAAAATTAGAAAATTAGATACAAATTTTATAATTTGATATGACATTTTTATCAGTCAACAAAGAACATCTTTCTGTTTCAGAGGCCATCAAACGCCTCCTTGCTCAACTCCCCATTAGTGCCCAGTCTTACAGCAGCAGTCCCTACCTGGACCTGGCTCTCTTCAGTTATGATGATAAGTGGGTCTCTGTCATGGAAAGACCCAAGGGATGTGGAGACTATCCTATAAGGTACATTCAGGATGATTCATTTAAGTCATTTTATAAACTGATTAAGTTCTTGTTGATTTATAAGCCTTTTTAGGTTATCTTGAATAGGGAATAATTCCAAGAAAATTCTATTTAAATATCCATTGTAATTTGAAAAGCTGACAGTCTCAAAACCAGATGTTCAGTGCATAAGGACCCTAAAACTATACTAGTAATTTTGTTTTCTTATTATCATTTTATTTGGGGGGGGGGGGGGGG